CTGCAAGGCAATGGACAACTTGGAGTCAATGGACTGGAAACGGAATTCTCCTGAATCGGCAAGTTCAGCATAATCAGGACTGGGTAATAGAGCAGGGGATAGCCACCTTCTCCATGCAGCCGTGTCTGGATCACCTGATGCAACACATACGGCCTGCACGACGTTGGAACGCCAAACATCAAGATCTTGGCATTTAGGCCATGGCTTGACAGTGACCTTCTCGTGCTCTTTCCTGGATATCCTAGTTACCCAATCTTTGCCGTCTTGACCAGCATCACTGCTTGCAACACTAGCATCTTTGCCATCTTTTCCGTTCCCATAGTCCAGGAGGATTGTCAGGAACGGGTTCGAACTCAGGGGCTCTGTTGTCTTTCAAAGATTCTTGCCCTTCTTCAACTTGTTCCAGCCAACTCTGGTATTCTTTCATCTCGTCATAGTTCTGTTGAGCTCGTTCTTCAGACCGACGGAGCTTCTCACGAAGATCATCGATCTCACTGTTGGTCTGGTTGTTGATGGCATTGTTCATGCTAGGTGATAGTGGTGGTGGTAGAGCAGGATCATGATTCTTCGTCGTAGAAGATGCTTTGGGCGTCCCATAGGAGTTGAAATCGATACTGCAAATGATGGAGTTTTGCCAGTAAGTGCAGTCGTCCTCGAAACTAAGGTCGTTGGAGGCACCGCTGATGGTGAAGCTGGTACTGTGGCTCTGGTCGATACTCTACTCCATGAAGCTGGCACCGTACTCATTGTCAGTCTTGCATCGTGGAGTGATTGCTTCAATGAGTCATTCTTCCTGATCACATGGTCGCGTTCAGAACAGGCCGATTGATAGAGCTTCTTGTACCTATCTGCTTCTGCCTCTTCGGCGTCGATGAGTGCCTCAGTGAGCTTTGGATTGCTTTCCACTGCTTCTTGAAGTCGACTGATCTCCATGTTGGCTTTGCGAAGTTCCTCACGTAGTTCTTCATTCAGTTCAGCAACTCGTGTTCTCAACTGGTTGGTGGACTCGATCAAAGCCATGTTCTCATCCATGAGTTCGTCCTTGACGCGCTCAATGGTGATTTCCCTGTCCTTGAATGCACTAAGTTCATCATGCTTGAACTGGCGGAACTCATTCTTCTCATCAATGAATCGATTTGTATACCATTCCCGGGTAGCACTCTCGTTCTCATTCATTCTCATGAGGCTTCTGATCTCCACCTCGAGCTCGTTGTGCTTCCGGTTGTACTCCTCCTCTCTCTCCCGAATCATGTTCTTCATGTCACGAACCTTCACAATGTGATCACGATTCGCGTCATCCCTGATAGCAATGAGGTTGTCCTTGTGCGACAAACTGGCAGTCAGTTCGTCGATAGTTGATTGCATCTCTACCAACTGTTCATCACGTACTGCAACAGCTTGTTGGCCATATTCCATGATCATCTCATTGTTGTCAGCCATCATGTGTGATTGCTCTGATAGTTTCAGTTTCAATTGCTCCATTTCTTCCTTGCTCGCATTCTCCCTGTCTTGAACATACTGTGCACATGCTTCACGCAGTTGTAGCCCATCTTGACGAAAGTGAACTGTCATAGCTTCAGATGTGTCATGTTGTTGACGAATGAGTTGTGATGCGTTCTCTAGTTCAGTGAGATACTTTCCCCTCATCTCAATACTTTCCCGAACAATGTGTGCCGCACCTGCTTCAGCGAGTTGACCACGCTTCTCCAGCTCGATGATCCTCATTGTTGAACCTTCGTCCAGGAGATGCGCCTCAGCCAGTGCGATCGTCTGCTCTTCAAGTACATGGTGTGCATCGATGAGGGAAACTCTCATGAATTCCATCTCGGAGTTGACATGTTCTTGATATTCTTCATGATGTTGATGTGAATAGATCTCCATGTTGTTAATCATCTGATCACGGTGTGCAAGAACATCCTGATAAAGACTTAGTCTGTTTTCCAGTTCAGTCCTTGCCCGTTCGCTCCTCTCCAGCTTCTCGGTATTGTGTTGTAGTTGACGTCGAAGACGTGCCTCGCTCTCATTCCTCGTAGCGCTGGTCGATGGCTTGCGTTTGGATGAGGTGGTAGACTTACCTGCCTCATCCTCCCGCGTGGCCGTGCCCGACGGGCTTCGGCCACCGCCGTCTTCTGCAATGCGAGATCTTGCAGCGCGAGGTGATCTTGCCGATGTTGCTCTTCTGGCACTTCCTCCTCGAACTATGTCAGCTTGATTGACCACTGTGAAGCTGCTTGTTGATGCTATACTTCCAGTAGCACGGTAGGACATCGTGCCGCCGCCGCCGCTCTCTTGGGATCCAGGCGTGTCATTGATCGCCTGGGCCGGAGCAACATTCGCTCCGAAGGAAAAGCTTGTGTCGTTGCTGCTCCACTGGTTCTTCTGCGACATCTTTTTGTTGTCAGTCCACCTCCGTTTACCCCAAGACCAATGACTTGTAGTAGGGCAGGAGGACCAGGATGCCGAAGGGATTGAGGATAAAGTGGGACCACCGTACGCCCAGTGATGAGCGTACGGCTGATAACCTGTGAGTCACCTTTGCCCTCTTCAGACTCCGTGTACAAGAGGTTCTTAATGTGATTGTGGTACTTGCAGTTCTCAATGGTTTATGGCTGCAGCATGCGGACACTCCTTTTCCGTGGGGCGTGGCGTCTTGAGCCAAACCGGCGGGGCGAGCGTAGCTTGAAAAGGTCTGCACAGGAATGTTCAGTGCAAATGATATGCTCACCGTAGCCTATATACCAATCACATATATATATATACACACACATATATATATATATTGTATATGTATGTATGTATGTATGTATGTATGGTATGTAATGTAATGTAATGTAATGCAATGGTATGGTATGTAATGTAATGAAATGTAATGTAATGTAATGTTATGTTATGTATGTATGTATGTATGTAATGTATGTAATGTATGTAATGTATGTAATGTATGTAATGTATGTAATGTATGTAATGTATGTAATGTATTTAATGTATGTAATGTATGTAATGTATGTAATGTATGTAATGTATGTAATGTATGTAATGTATGTAATGTATGTAATGTATGTAATGTATGTAATGTATGTAATGTATGTAATGTATGTAAGGTATGTAATGTATGTAATGTATGTAATGTATGTAATGTATGTAATGTATGTAATTTATGTAATGTATGTAATGTATGTAATGTATGTAATGTATGTAATGTATGTAATGTATGTAATGTATGTAATGTATGTAATGTATGTAATGTATGTAATGTATGTAATGTATGTAATGTATGTAATGTATGTAATGTATGTAATGTATGAAATGTATGTAATGTATGTAATGTATGTAATGTATGTAATGTATGTAATGTATGTAATGTATGTAATGTATGGAATGTATGCAATGTATGCAATGTATGCAATGTATGCAATGTATGCAATGTATGTAATGTATGTAATGTATGTAATGTATGTAATGTATGTAATGTATGTAATGTATGTAATGTATGTAATGTATGTAATGTATGTAATGTATGTAATGTATGTAATGTATGTAATGTATGTAATGTATGTAATGTATGTAATGGATGTAATGTATGTAATGTATGTAATGTATGTAATGTATGTAATGTATGTAATGTATGTAATGTATGTAATGTATGTAATGTATGTAATGTATGTAATGTATGTAATGTATGTAATGTTATGTAATGTTATGTAATGTTATGTAATGTTATGTAATGTTATGTAATGTTATGTAATGTATGTAATGTATGTAATGTATGTAATGTATGTAATGTATGTAATGTATGTAATGTATGTAATGTAGGTAATGTAGGTAATGTAGGTAATGTAGGTAATGTAGGTAATGTAGGTAATGTAGGTAATGTAGGTAATGTAGGTAATGTATGTAATGTATGTAATGTATGTAATGTATGTAATGTATGTAATGTATGTAAAGTATGTAATGTATGTAATGTATGTAATGTATGTAATGTATGTAATGTATGTAATGTATGTAATGTATGTAATGTATGTAATGTATGTAATGTATGTAATGTAATGTAATGTAATGCAATGCAATGTAATGTAATGTAATGTTATGTTATGTAATGTTATGTGTGTGTGTGTATGTATGCATGTGGCGTATCAGGAGCTGGGTGATGAACTTTGATCGCTTGATAGTATGGCTGTTGCTTTCCCTTTGGTTATTTCTGGGGACATAAAAACCATGTAATCACGTTGATTTTATTCAAGACAAAAGGGACAATTTCCCAGTCAACATCTTTTTTTCCCTTCCCTCAATTCATTTGATTCCAAATCTTGAACACTGAAACATCTTGAAACATCCAACTAAAAATTGGGGAAGTCTTCCCTTCCAAGCCACTGGCATCAAACTCTATTTTGAACTCTAAAAAACTCCGAAAACACATCCAAAAAAACTAAAAACAACTCCTAAATACTCCAAATTTCTTGGATATTTCTGGGACTTTTTTCAATCTTTTCCCATGTTTTCTGCTGCCCAGGTGGACTGCAGACCCAGCTGCTCCCCACCTTGGCCCGTGGCGGCGAGGCGGTGCTGGCCATGATGCCCACGGCAGCGCAGGCGGTGGAGTTGATCCAGCGCTTCAACGTGAGCGTCTACGTGTCCTGGCAAAATGTGAAAGACTGGGAAATGGTCCTAGTATGTCCATTGGTATTATTAAGCTATAGTTCTATATGTTATATACCATTGGCTTATCTTTGTTTATATTTAGTTATACGTCAGTATATATATATATATAATATATATATATATATATGTGCATATATGCATATGTAATAACACACACACAGAATATCAGTTTGGAATCGCTCACACACACGTGTACATATGTATCTCTTCATAACAGATATATACTACACATATCTTAAGTTCATGAATAGATTCATATAGATGACATAGATTACATATATAGATGACATAGATGACATAAATTGCAGATTCCAGGCCTATCCCGCGCCACGCGCCAGGCCATGCTCTCCAGCGCCTTATTGGACTTCGTGGAGCACCTGGAGCATCGCGACTTAGGCTCCGTGGCGGCGCTGGCGTTGCGACGGGTCGTGGGCTCCGGGGACTCGGTGCCGCTGCAGCTGCAGAGCCGGTTCCTGGAGATGTGGCTGGGACAAAAAACATGGCTAATGTGGGTAAAACAACTATGGAAAATCACCATTTTTCATGGGTAACCATCATTAACCACCATTAAGCATCATTTATCATGCTATTAATGGGTAAATCAACTATCAACTAAACATCATTAACCATCATTAACCGTCATTAACCACCATTAACCATCACTAACCACCATTCAGCATCATTTACCATGCTATTAATGGGTAAATCAACTATAAACTAAACATCATTAACCATCATTAACCATCATTAACCATCATTAACCACCATTAACCGCCATTAAGCATCATTTACCATGCTATTAATGGGTAAATCAACTATAAACTAAACATCATTAACCATCATTAACCATCATTAACCACCATTAAGCATCATTTACCATGCTATTAATGGGTAAATCAACTATAAACTAAACATCATTAACCATCATTAACCGTCATTAACCACCATTAACTATCACTAACCACCATTCAGCATCATTTACCATGCTATTAATGGGTAAATCAACTATAAACTAAACATCATTAACCATCATTAACCATCATTAACCACCATTAACCACCATTAAGCATCATTTACCATGCTATTAATGGGTAAATCAACTATAAACTAAACATCATTAACCATCATTAACCATCATTTACCATCATTAACCATCATTAACCACCATTAAGCATCATTTACCATGCTATTAATGGGTAAATCAACTATCAACTAAACATCATTAACCGTCATTAACCGTCATTAACCACCATTAACCATCACTAACCACCATTCAGCATCATTTACCATGCTATTAATGGGTAAATCAACTATAAACTAAACATCATTAACCATCATTAACCATCATTAACCATCATTAACCACCATTAAGCATCATTTATCATGCTATTAATGGGTAAATCAACTATCAACTCAACATCATTAACCATCATTAACCGTCATTAACCACCATTAACCATCACTAACCATCATTTATCAACCATTTAAATCGTTACCCCCTGGTAAGTGTTTACAAAAAACTATGGAAAGATTCACCATGCTATTCATGGGAAAACTCACGAACTCAATGGCCATTTTCAATAGCAAACTGTAAACGTTTACTAGAGGGTAACGAATGATGGTTAAGAATGGTTGATCAATGATGGTTAATGATGGTTACTGATAGTTAATGATGGTTAATGTGGGTAAAACAATGCCACAAACCACCCATGACTGGGAATGGTAAACATACCACCTATAGAAATGGTGATGACTGGGGGATGGTTTATTATGGTTTTACCCACATTATTGAAAATATCCTGATACATATCTATATACACACACATATATATATATACATTTATATACATATATATATATATATCTCTTAAGTTCATGAGGGATTAAAACCAACATATATAACGTACTGGAAAAATACCATAGCTATTGAAAATTGCCCATAGAACTAGTTGATCTTACCTACTAAAAGTGGTTATTTTCCATAGTTATGTTAGTTACCAGAGGGAGGTATATATGATATCTCAATGGATTGGTTTAACGGAAATTGAAACTGGACAGCCCCATATTTTTTTAAAATCTCGACATCTATGTTGTCCGGTTCGGATTTTCCCTTGAACCAATCCATTGACTTCTAGTTGTTTTAAATGAAAGCGATGGGCGTGTGAACTCTGAAGGTCAGGGTTCCCGGCGGCGGGCCTGCCTCTGTGTCTGTGCCCATGAAGATCCCCAGGTTCGGTTGGCCCGTTCTGGAGGGCTGTGGCATCACAGAGATTGGTGGCTACTACGCCGCCCAGCCGCTGGACCCGCTAGACCGCGAGGGCAAGGCGGGTGCCATGGGAAGGCCGACGAAGGGGACCCAGGTACGGCTGGTGGAGGACGGGTGATGGGTGGGGCTGGGAGCTCAATGAATGTAAGGTTTAAGAATGGTGGATTTGTTTGTACTCGCTTGTGCAAAAAGGCAGATGGCCCATTGAGTTAACTGGGCGAGTAAAGCCCGTTTAGGGGATTGACCTCCCCTAATTTAGCTTCAACCGCTTCGATTAGACAAGGTTGGATTAGCAGTATATTTACAACCTCAACGATAGTGGAGAGATCTAGACCTTGAGATAGAAGCAGAAAACATGGGGAAATACTATATTGTGATGCAATCTGGGCAGAGGAAGGGTGGCATATGCCAATAAAAGATCCGGTTGTAACATCAGAAATTGGAGGTTGCCTCGTGATGAAAGCCAAGAACACGAGATGAATGGGGAGGTGGAGAAAAATGGGTTTCAACATCATGAAGCACTTCCCACTTCTCTCTCGAACAAACAATGGAGCACTTTGAGGGGAAGAAATGATGACCGCCGCCAGACTTTGTAAAGCAAGCACTTAGCAAGTTGGTAGGGGTCACTCGCTCAGGGCCTGACCTTAGATGACACGCCATTACTTACCACGCACCCAGTTTCTGAGGGTTGTCTGAAAATGGCGTATACATGCAGTATTCACCTAAAATTCCAATTTGAGCAGGGAAGATGTTGAGACACCACGTGGATTTTGGGGCGCGCTCCATTTTTGGACCAACCATGACCGACCCATATGTGGAATATCATCAAACAAACATGAGGACACAATCTATGTATGAGAACATTTGTGGAGATACAGCCAAGCAGCATTCCATGGATTTGTTTGAAAAACACCATTTGAGAAAACAATTGTTTTAAAAAACATTGTTTTTGGCACCGGAATAGGGGTTTCATGAAGATTTTCCCCTCAACCAATTCGGGTAGAGTAGGGACATCCCATTTTTTTGCTATTTCTACTTGGTGCTTAAGACCCATGTAATTGATCTGCATGGCTTGGTTGGACCAAGCCATGTTTCGTGCGATTTCCAGCCCTGCGCGCAGTGCGCGCAGGACGGAAAGGATGTGCCCGTGGGCTCCATCGGGGAGGTGCTTCTGAAGACGCCCTCCCTGCCTCTGGGCTACTGGGAGGATCCTGAAGCCACCAAGGAACTCTTCCAAGATGGTGCCTGGACTGTTGTCGGATTTGGAGCGAATTGGCTCGGATTGGATCATTTTTCGGGCAACTGGTTACTGTCTTTTTTTGGGGCGAATGTGGATAGATAAGTCTGGAAAAACTATAGTAGGAAACCGTACTCATTTGTTTTGGTCGTTTGCAGGTTTGGAAAATTTGGAGTTTTATGTTCCAATTTACACCATTTGCCCCATTTGCACACCCATTTACCACGTTGAGATGGCAATGTCGCTGGCAAAACCATGTGGCGTAAGGTATGCTTGGATGATCCTGGGAGTTAGTGGTCAGGTTGGAAAGTGATTTGCAAACGGGAGTTAGAACACAGTGATTGTACTAATCCTCCTTCATTCACCGCGAGGATCATCCAAGCAGAGCCGGCCATGGCCAAGCATGGCCCATATTTAGTCAGGTATTTTTGCGTCACATCCCCACTGATAAGCTGTTTTTACCTGAAAGATCACCATTTTCGGTCTGGAACTGTGAAAGAGAAATGAACCACATGAAGCTTGACGTTTGGCTGGTCAACTGCATTGTTTTCGGCTGATTTTTCCTTGATCCAATCCATGTAGGCTCGCCTGAGATCTTTGGGGCATGGTTTGAAAATAATATCCTCACATATATTACAGTAATTCCAAACACACACACACAGACACAGACACAGACACAGATCTCTCTCTCTCTCTCTCTCTTTCTATATATATATATATGGATATGTAGATGATATGTATATTTCTATATAGATCCCCACGCATTTCCACTTCCCCCCAACTCCCCAACCCTCCCTTAACCACCCCCTTCCCCATCCCCAGGTTGGCTCCGCACCGGCGACCTGGCGCGCTTCGACCTGGACGGCTTCCTGTGGTTCGTGGCGCGGCGGAAGCTGATCATTGTCCGACGGGGCTCCAACCTGGCCCCCGCGGCGGTGGAGCGGTGGCTGCTGGAGCATCCCAAGGCGGGATGGTGGGGATGGATAAAGCTTGTGGAAGGAGATGATATACATATAATTTAGTATGTATATACATATATATATACGTATATGTATATACAAGCATATGTATGTATTTGGTATGTGAGGTATTATGTAGGGGGTTGAGAAGTTATCTTTTAAATCAGTTAGCACCATTTTCATGTAGGATGCACCGAGACAAAGATGAACTTCTTTTTTCTGGGTATCAAAGATTTGCCATGGCATCATTTGATGAGTGAAAAAGAAACGCGTTTGTCTACCCCACCAGTGTGGCAGACTTACTGGAAAACTAATAGACCCCATATCAAACGACCCAATTTTACAGAATTGGGTATTGGAACACTTCTATGTAATTCTTAGGTTTGCGGCCGCATCGATTATCATGCAATGTCATCCATGATTACATCCCGGTTATGTCCAGCATTTGGGGACTCGAATCCCTATTTTGGTTGGTTAAAACTCCATGAAAATGGTGATCACCATCCATAATTCTCATCCATGATCTTTCCTCCCTTCAAATCCCATGGAAAACCAGGCCTGTTTATCCATTTCAATCCCAATCAAATGGCAGAAATCATCAGAAATCCTTCAGAAATCATCGTCAAAAATCCAGTTCAATCCCCAGAAACATGGCATTTTCTCCTGATTCAAAACCCCAAAATCGAGGTCAAGGCCGTGGTGGTGGTAGGTGTCCCGGACTCTGCGGAGGGTGAGGTGCCTGTGGCCTGGGTGCTGCCGGGTGATGAGGCGCCGACGGCAATGGAGCTGGAGGAGCAGGGGATTGGGGGCTATTCATACACACACACACATATATATATATATACATACATATAGTCTAATATAGTATATATATATTTGATCAATATATATATATATACTGGATAGATTTTTCTATAGTATCATATAGTATCTATAGTATCTACAGTGACTATCTACCATAATTTTCATCACATTATGTATAGTGACTGTCTATAGTGATAATCTATAGTTATGATATGATTAGCATATATTGTAATATTAAAATCCATATGATTCTTTATGTTTATCTATGTTACAATGTACTGTTATAATTATTATAATTCTTTCAAAGATATATGATAATACATTGGGGTCCCACACTATATAGATTATTCAATGCTATTTATATGATCCCATATCTGTCTATAGATATGATATTTTGACATATTTTGACACTACTAATATTATCATGATCATCTATCATCTATATTGGGATTTTAGGGGACAATATTACAGTAGTTATACTGATGTGTATTTTATAGATCTATAGTTGATCCTACTATGATATGACAAATGGCAATATTCCAACCATGTAATATAGTTTGTATATAGTCTGCGTATAGTTTTTTTTAATCATGGTGTAAATGGATCATAATCATGATCATTAAGTATACTAGGTTTAGGTACTAATTCTTATGTAATATTCGGGTGGATAATAGACCTCTATATCTGCAACACGACAAAAGAATAATATTCCCAACTTGGGATGCTACTTGGAAATTCCCCGGAGGACATGGAGGTTTCATGCTAGACTCATGGTTCTTGATGGTTTCTGATTGGAGTATATATGTATGTATGTATGTATTGGTAGGACCAGTGGCTGCTAAACATCCCCACAAAAAGCGGTGCTCGGAGGGCCGGGGAGGGTGGCAGGGAGGGTGGCGGGGTTCACCAATTATTGGTGCAACTTTGGGCACGCAAAAAAATCTCTCTCCTTAAGTTTTTTGATGTTTGACGCCCGCACCAATATTTTGTTTACGTTTTTCATGTGTTTTTTTCAGCCTCCGCACGGTTTGCCTGCCCGTCACTGTGTCTTGAACACTTTCCTTCAGAAATGCAAAATTTGCAAAATGGATTTGAAGCAGGAAAATCCGAGCGTCAAGGAAATGCTTCGGTCCCGGAGAAGCCGTTGATAATTCTTAATGCGGTCCCAACTTGGACAAAATTAGAGAAAACAACTTTACAGTGACGGGTTTTGATTAGGCAATCAAAGATGCTGGCCACAAATCAAACATGTCTGCCCGATTGCTGGTGAAATTTTCTTCGCATCATTGAGCCCCAAGTGCAGCATATATAGGCGATATACATACACACACACATATATATATATATATCGTAGAATCATGGTGAATAGGCGATATATATATAATATATATGTGTACATATGGAATATTAACGGAATACATATACCCTCCAGCAATGAAACATGGCGTTGGATAATCCTCCATAAAAGGAGGTTTTGATGGAAACATCATATAAATGGATGATTTTCCAACAAGCCGTTACCGGAGGGTAATGGATATAAATGCGGTACAACCATGCTGAGTTTGCCTCCCTAAAGTTGGGATACGGGGGGCCCGATGACTCTGGTTGTATATCTATATCCATATGTCCACTTTACCCCAAGCGCAATCCCACGCAGTGACCACGACATTAGATATAATTCATGGGTGATAAAAGTGATATACATATACGTGTGTGTATATATATATATATGTGTATATATATATATATATATATGTATGTATGTTATGTTATGTGATGTGATGTGATGTGATGTAATGTATGTACATACGTGATCCAAAACTGGAGATTAAACAACAGACATGGGATACTTAAGCAACCACTTTTTGACACTGATCTTTCATCACTTGTATATGTATATCACTGACATCCTCACAATTGGACTATAATGGGTAGGTAAATGGCATCCCCTTTCATTTTTCCTGGACATGGGGACACATATACGTAGGTGCGGGCCCCAAAACGGATTGACTGACATTTGTGGCTCCATGACTGCCTAATTTTGACCGATGCCCGATACCATGCGATACCCATATGCATGAGTGGGTGAGTTATGAGGTAAATGATGGTAAATGATGCCATGTGATGGTCGGGTTTTTTTCTGGGCTACAATTCAAAAAATGTAGCTAAACTAATGCCAATCACACTGTATCATCACCCCCTCAGCTATTTCACCAGAATTTTTGGATGCAATTTCCAAAAAGTGGTGCCACCCTAGTCAGAAGTTGGTTTACGACAGCCACTAACTATAGATGTATCATAAACCCTGGTTATTGGAGTTCTGTTCACCAACTTAGCTAACGAACTGGGGCCGCACCTTGTAAGCTTCGCTTTTTCTGGGACCCCCTGCTGAACAGATCACCAGGAGCATGCAACCAAAGGCCTCGCTTCCTACGAGCAGCCCGTGAGCCGCCTGACCTTGTTGGTTTCGGTCAAACAGAACAGGTGGGATTACAGCAGCAAAGATGTGGGTTGTAAGTTGGGTGAAGGCGAATTAGTTATATAGAAGTTAGCTCTACAATATAACATTTTTAAAATCATTAGTTTGATCAAAGTTGCAACTACGTACCTACGTACCTACATCCATCCATCCATCCATCCATGCATGCATGCATGCATGCATGCATGCATGTATCCATGCATTCTGTTTTTGATAGGGTAAATTGCTGCAAGAAAGCGAGGGCATACACTACCCAGTGGCCAGCTAAAACAGAAAGAAATGGATGTTTTTCTTGAGTGCAGGGCGTCTATGATCAGCCACGAGAAGAGCCAGTTCATAAACTTCCCAATTGTGTACTTGGTTTGAGAAATGTCGTTGCTGGCGTTGCTTGGTGAAGCACATATCATTGCAACTTTGAGAATCCATTGTTCTACTTTTGTCACATATCCTGAGAGCATATAATCATGGTTGCTGAATGTGAGAGAAGTTTGTGGGGCGCATGTTTGTTGGCCGTGCCAACAAACAATGCCGACGATATGTTATATCCCAGTTGGCCAATGAACTGATGATAGTGGAAATAATTCGGGATATTTGATGATATTTGCTCATGATAAACCAGCTGGTGAAATTCATGGCACACCATCTTGGGGATTTAGGATATATCTGGCAAAAAGGGGCAGAAATGGGCACACAGAGACCAAATTTTAAGTTTGATTTTCCAAACTCCACACTTTCGCCTTGGCTTTCCAATTTCCTGACCCAGGATATTGGTTCCGCAACACAATGCCGCTGAACAGCGTGGGAAAATTTGACCGCGCCAAGTTGAAAGACGAAGCGAAAGCGCTGATGGCGAACCTGGCAGCGACGGCAGGAGCATGACCTGACCAGCAGCTGACCAGCTGATCCTTCTTGCAGAGTTGTACAGTGCCAGGAGGCCTCTGTGTTTGGGATTTGTACAGTTGAATTTTGTCGGCGAACTGGTCAAACGGTCTGCAGGAGTCAGACCAGGATTTGTACAGTTGAGGGATGGCTTTCTTTGCATCTATATTTTCTTGATTTAGAATACGGTTCCATGTTTTTTGATTTCTTTCAAAGTTTTCCAGCAACCTCACCATGTTTTGGTGCACAGCGCGGCCATCGACAATCCCTTTGATCAGCACGGCCATCCATCACGAAGTGCTCGAGCTGTGTTTTCTTGACGCTTCGATGTGCGGTTGTTGAAAACAATGTGGTTTCAACAGGCATCCAGTTGCTATAGAAAACAAAGATGAGAATTGACACAACGAAGATTCAAGATTCAAGCTTCGTTGGTATACCCTAGTATACTGATTTTTAAAATAGCTATGGAACATGGATAAACAAAAATGGTCCATTTATAGATGATTTATGATGATTTCCCCCTGAAAAATGGTGGATTTTCCAGTTCGCGACGCGGCAGCGTCTTGAGATCCCGGTGTTCCAGGCCTTGATCAATCTGCACGAAGATCACTCTGAGGAGAGCGAGAGAAGTGCAGCGATTCGCAGGGCGAGTCTGACTTGTTGGTTCATTTAGTACAGATATTGGGAAATTCGCATATTGTTTATTTCTTTATTGTCATTTATATATATATAGATATTATATAATTATATATATATATATATGTTATCAGTAATTAGTTGGCTTAATCTATTCCTACTTTGGCATTTGATTCTTCCGGTGGATCTGCGCACTTGGTAGAGGGTGGCAGTCCATCAGTCGCATCGATAGCCCGTAGGAGGAGAAACAGACCTGTGCCAAGAAAGTGTTGAAGCAGGGGAGCCTCAGTGATCACCTATACATATGGAGCTTTTAATGAGAAAATCATGGGAAAATCGATGTACATCACCTATAAATATGGAACTTTTAATGGGACAATCACCATTTTGAATGGTGAATGTGCACCAACCCGTGGAAAAGTTCCTGTTGATTCGAAAAATATGTTTCTGATGTGTCACCACCCTGGTCCACCTTAAGGTTGTTGATGACGTATCTAATTTTGAAATATAATTACCTATAATTACCTATGATGATTACCTATGATTACCTTAAAGAACAGTGTATCCACACGCGCAAAGACATACATGCATATGGTTATCAGCATTTCATAGGTTTCATAGGTCCCATAGCCACCCCTTCAACGCCTGGTGACGCAAACAAAACGAAACGAAACAAAACAAGACAAAACAAAAGAAAACAAACAGTTCGCACACAGTCGCATTGGGGCTTGCGACAAAGTAATCCCTTTCCATCATATCAGCCCAAGCGAAACCCTGGCATGGTATTGGTTGTACTAGTATTAGGGTCCCCCTAAAGTGGGGGTAGTGAACAGTCTGATAGGGTAGATTTAGGACAAACCACCATTGACCAAACTAAATCCATTGTTCCACTACTGGACTCTGACTCAAATGACTGAGGCTGGTTGGCCAATAATTGGTTCCTTTAGCTACCATTAAAGAGGTTTACTAAAGCACATTTGACCATACTAAACCATATTACACCATATTGAACCATATTCAATCCCTATTGATGGGTAAAATGGCCTTGTTTGTTTTGCATTGTTTTGGATCAACCCTTGAACGCCCTTCAGCAGAGGCTTCTGATCCACGCCTTCTCCAAGAATGCCAGTCGGAGGGCTCAGGATGGCCCGGTGATATGAAACCGGAAAACCTATGAAACAATTGGAAAGATCAAGCAGCTATGCCCGTTTTATATAGTGACAAACAACGATGTATTCCAGACATGAAAGTCTTGGAGAAGGCGATGGATGGAGGGAGAGAGAGAGAGAGAAAAAGAGAGAGAGAGAGAGATAGAAGTCGGTGGATTGTTTATATATATATATATGTATATGTATATGTATATGTATATATATATATGTGTGTGTGTGTGTGGGGAGTGGTTGCAGTACCGCATGAAGATATGATGAAACAAGGGCTTTAGGCATGGCACGTTTGAGTTTGGGTCAGTTCACCCTGCGAAGCCTGGTTTTCACATGTTTTCACATCCTACTGTAATCAGTCTGAAGAATCCTGAAGAAATGTGTTGAGATTTGTTTGGCATGCGAACTTTACCTACCTAGTCACTTAGTCCATTTCCATGTCAATTTCCACTAAGCCAAGCCAGCCAAGCCTTCAGAGGAAAACCATCTAACACCATCTCTTATATATCCATACAAGCCCACTTGGGAGACATGGCATCCGACAAACACATTTGAGATCTACGTATACATTATAGAGGGAACACCAATCATATACTAATCATAAATCATCATAAATCCTCGTAAATCATATATATATATAATTAAACACAAACATCATAGAAATATTATCAATTCATGGCATATACAGTAAACACAACGGCCAAGAGCCACATGGCGAGCCCAGCGCCCAGCGCCCGAGGTAAAGCCCAGCGCCGACGGGCGCAAGACTTGCAGCCCGCCATGGTGGCCCAGGTCATCGAGAGATGGGACGAGCTACACCAAAAAAATGTTTGATTGTTGGGTTACGATTATTGATTATCCGTGGGCCCCAACATTATTACCATTTTTTTCATGTGATTATCCCAAGTTTTTACCGTTTCAAAGGTCATCTATTTGTTTTTGCAGTCGGGATCAGGATATAAAGAAAAACTTGGTCAGGATTCAGAATGATTCAACACTTTGGGATTCCAACAAAAATGGGCCCCAAAAATGGACAATCACGGAGATGTTAACATTAAAACTATAGTAATCCCCCAAAACATGTAGAAAAATAACATATCACTATTTTGGGTGGGTTTTTCTTCTCTATGATTTGGGATGACTATTAAAACCCACAGGACGAGGGGTTGTCCCGAAGGGACAACCCCTCGTCCTGTGAGCGGAGCTAGCAACCCATTGGTTGCATCATCCCGGTGCCAGGGGATTTCCTTGTCATAACAACAGTGACGTCCTACGCATACTTCCATTAGGGGTTTCATTTATATAGGGTTTACATAAGTTATAAAATCCGGACTCGCCCAAAAAATGAAAAAGATTGAAACAGTGGAAATGGCCGAAACGTGTGAAGTCCGCAGAGGGTTCACTTTTCTGACTGATTTTTCCAAAAAGTCGTCTTAGACCACGCTAACCCACAGATGTACCAGAGTCATAAAACCCAGTCATGGGTGGTTTATGATATTGTTTTTACTCACATTAACCACTATTAACATCTATTAACCACTATGAATCATTATCAAAATATTCCGGGACAAGCCTCCCCACCAGGTGCTAACAGCAGTGGTGGAGTTCAATGCGGAGCTCTTGGAAGACCACTGGGAGGAGCCGCTGTAAAATTGCCCATTTATAGATAACTTATAGATAATCTATAGATAATTTGTCCAAAAAAAAATCCTAGTAGAAAATGGTTTGAACATGATCGAAACTATCTAACTGAGGCTTGGGAACATGTTGTCAACAGATTGAATCCAAATGGATATAAATGGATACAAATGGATATAAATGGATATAAATGAGCAATTTGCCATATATTGCCATATTAAAATCACCGGATGGTATCATGTGGAAGATTCACATCCGATGATTTCCACTTTCATCGGTGCTTCAATCAGAGTAACGTTTCCTGGGTAAACACACTGGTTTGGCAGGTAAATGGGTTAATCTTTGTCCAATAGTTGAAAGATGAAACATCATCATCATCATCATCATCAACATCATCATCATCAACATCATCATCCTCATCCTCATCCTCCAAAGAGAATCCATGACCGTATTGTTCTCGATCTTTTGGGGTCTCGGTGATTTCCCACATCTTCCCTGCGGCTGCCCCCGGCAGGCCTTGCCGCAGCTTTTTCGGCGGACTGAGCTGGTCGAAGATGTGGAAGTGGCCGAGCTTTGGGCTGCCATGGAAGGCTGCCATGGTATATCCTCTGGTAAACAAACATAACTATGGAAAATCACCGTTTTTGATGGTAAATCCACTATAAATGGCCATGTTCAATAGCTATGTTAAATTACCAGAGGGTATATTATAGGTAGATTACATATATCATGATATATTATGATATTTTTTGTATCACAATGTATCATACACTGCAAATCATAGGTATCATTGCTATGATCATATAGGTATTTTCGTGCCATGACATCAAAGATGGAAAATGGATTGAGAATGATTGACATATTGCTGGATGGTATAGGTGATTGTTATTCCATGTTAGTCCCATTGATGGAAGAGAGATTTCTTACATGAATTATCGTACATGTTAGTTAGTGGATGGTACCCTTTGGTAAACAAACATAGCTATTGAAAGTGGCCCATAGCTATTGGTAACCCTAAATGGCCTGACTGGGTTGACCTGGTGTTTTTTTTTCGCGGCCAATGACGTGGAACATAGATGGCCCAAGCTTGGGCCGAGCTCGGGACATCGGGAGCTAAAACCGTCGGGATTTATTGGTCCTTGAACCTGGCAATGGGAATGGTAATAGCACCCTTTGTAAATGTGGGTATGGGTCAAAATTAGGTACCCCAATAATTGGATGGTTAATACTAAACTAGACTAACATCTGTGGTCCCCTACGTCTTCCATTTTGACCCACATCCATGTGATTTATGTGATTTATTGACGATGATCCTACTTATCCGAATTTTCATGATATTTCATTCCATATTTTTTCCATGAAAAGAATGAGAGCCATTGATTTTTTTTCATCACCAGGTTAAGGCAAACATTGATGACCTCGCCCTGAAAGGTGCGCCTGCCGTGGTGCGCTTAGCATTCCTGGAATCTCTCGTGGTACAGGAGGCACTGGGTGAAGGGCGAAGGGTTCAGGTTATGATTATATCCAGAGGGGAGAAAACTCAATCTGGTAGGTGAATGGGTTGCAAACATGGTAATTATTCACTTAAAATGTTCATTGGGTCCGTGAAAAGGCTGGGATATGTTGGGATTTAACAATCAAAAACACCCGATTTGTATAATGGCAAGGGGCGCAAGGAGGAAATAACATCCGGCTAAACATTGGTTTGAAAGCTGGATGGTTTACTGTTATTTTGATCCACAGATGGGGGGGATATTTTTTATCCTGCTGTCCTGCTGAGACCTTATTTCCTTTGGTGTCTAGCCATGGGTAGTACCATTCTATTCGGGGCTTCTGCCAAATTTTCGATCAAAGTATTGGGGCAAAAAAACCCATGACTGGTCTGAGACTGGGATAACAAGTTCAGAGCGACCGGAAGTGGCAGACCAAGCCCCAGATGTGGGTTGCTGGGGCCAACCTCCGTGTTGGATGGGAGTTCCTCCGATTTCCAGCGTTGTTTTGGGTGGTGGCATCGTGAGATGGTGGGCATGTTGCCGATGTGAGTGGAGCGCGGGGGGTATGATGGGGATATCACCAGCAATGGAGAGATGAACCAGTTTCCAGATATCTTCTATGCCATTGTGTTGCATTGTGTGTGTGCTATGTTGCATAGATATCGTCAAAATGGCGGTCGAAGACGCCAGCGAACTTGGTGAGCCGTAAACCTCCGGTGATTCTCGAAAAGGTCACGGAGCTAAGTTCAAATGTCAAAACGAGAATGATACAGAAATCAGAAAAATAGGTGAACGTTCCATTCCAACTATGCTTAGCAAAATGCGGAGAAAGTTGAATCCACCTCCATAATATGATGAGCAATCTCCCAGTTGCAATTCATTAATGACTAGTCGCAGGGAGCGCCCAGTATGTTCAGAATTGATCGATTAGGTTGAAGGGGAAAGAGTTCTATGAATCCACCTAATTTGATGGTAAAAGCCCATTGCTACTCCAATCTCTCAATTGACGATCAGCCATTGAACACATAGACGATTTTCCTAATTTTTCCAAAAACGGAGACATCCCATTGCCGTGTTTACTTGCTGATTATTTTCCAGTGAAAAGAAGATATCCCATTGACATGCTTTTGCCATCGAAGGTATCCCCAAGTAAAACAAACTTACATCAATCCCTTTAAAGGATACGTGATGCAGGTGCAAGAATATGGCACAGCCAAAGCAGTCTCAACGTGGCAGCGTGCCGGTGTGGAGCCAGCAGATGTTGTGGGAAGCTCAGGGCGGGAGATCACCTGGGGAACTGCAAAATTCGCCTGGGATTCAGGACTTGTTTTACAATACCCTTTGATTTATCTGATTTTAAAGACAGATCCCAGCTTCAGGATTTGCCAAGTGAACATTAGTGATCTGAACTAGTTCCCCAAACCCTTTTGCGTGGAAGATCAAGCATATAGATCTCCATAGATTTCCTTTTCCCGACTGGTCGGTTGATTATATACTGGAAATTGCACCCCTCAATTGAACAAGCAATAGGTCGATGGATGAAAACTGGTATGATGATTTTTACCCACTCATTTATGGCAATAGTGGAGTGGTTCACGATTGGGCTTACCACATTCATTGAAAAAATGTGAGTTTAACCATGAATTCTTGAAGCCCAATATTTTTGTTTGACAGTGTTAACTATCCAGTGGTGAGGAGGTAACTAAGGAGCGATTTGGGTATCCATGTTCTCGTTTTTCAATGGGGAGCTAAGCAGCTACTAAGAGTTTACCAACCAGATGATATTTATATAAGATATTTTAAGAGAGAGACCATACTATGGCCCAATACCAACCCAGTTGTATACATAGTTTCAAGTTGGTAGTTATATACGATATATGATATATATAGATATACGTATATGTATACACACACCCTACTTAGATGGGCCATGGGCTTCGCTAACTGATTATAGTAACTGGGTTATAAATAAGTAGTTAACCAACTCCATGGCCCAACTACGTATATATATATATATATATGCACACACACACATATATATATATAGTTAAACCCATTCTTTAGTGCATTCTCTCAATTCTCTCCCCATTTTTCTTGGAGGTGGCGGCCTGCGTGGACTATGTCTTCCGAGACGAGGAGGACTGTGGAGTGGTGGAGGATGCTTTTTTTTGTTTTACTTTAGTAGAGCCCATTATATCTTGACAAATTTGGTATTGATTGGATGTTTCTGAAAAACCAAAATATGATGGTAACTTTTAGCATTTTTTGGTTTTGCAACAGCCGTAAACAATTGATTTTGATGGCGGCTCATATTTTTTTGAATATGTAGAACAGCTAAATATCTAAATATAGATTAGCTATCGCAATCATATATGTTTTAAGTTCAGATGCATCCATCCACATATGCCCTTAAAAACATGTGACATCCATACATTCCTGGGAGATCTGCGAGCACCAGGAGGAAGAGCTCTACCGCCATGTTCCGGTGAGGAGCTCAACCGCTGCGGAAACGATTGTGACGACCTGACCATAGATGGATGGATGGTGAGTAAGGGAGAATCAGTGTCCAAAAAAATCTTATAAGTCAGCTTTATGACCTATGATTATCTGGTTGGTGGTTTCAAACATTTATTTATTTTCCATGATATATGAGATAATCCTTCCGATTGACTAATATTTTTCAAGATGGTTAAAACCACCAACCAGTTATGATCAATTGCAAAGATGGTTGCATGTCAAGATTTTACGCAGCGAAAGAGCGATGAATTGAGGAAGTCCTGGGATCCCCTGGGCTTCCCCTGGAGGTTCCACGTCGCCCGCGCACCCGCAAGCGCTTTCTTCGCATGCGAAAAAGGGCCAGGAGACCCATGGCTGGGTGCAGGAATCCATGAAGCCAACTAGATGGTTGTAATTAAGTGGATGAAATGGGGACGGATCAAAACATCATACTGGATTTTTTGGGGAATGAACATCCAGTTACCGGCTAGTGTTCACCTGGGGTACAAGGTTTTGACATGTCTTGAAAATTGTTTGACCATGCCGTAAATATCCCAGTCACAAATGGTCCCATAGCCCAGCGTGGGCACTTATACCTCCCACTTAACATATTGGCTGACTCGCTGTTCGTGAATTTTGGGGGTCTGTGGGGATGTGGGTGGCTAATAATGTTCAATGTCTGCTAAGTTCAGAGGTGATGCTATGCGATCTTTGCTTCACATGTGTGTTTCTTGTTTCTCCCTTTACTTATTGTTTAGTTGGGGTGATGAAAACTGGGCCTAGGTCTTTCAGCAGGAATGGTGGGGCCCAAGAGGCTCGGTACGCATCGCAGGCGGGGCATCACCAAGCCTTTGAGTATCAAGTTTTAATCCGGTGGGCGGAGCTCACTTTCCTGTGCTCACCAACTGAACAATGCCTGCCAAATTGACGCTTTGTTGTATATAGGGAGATGGGAGAACCGTATGCAATCACATGAAGTGATGTAATGGTTTGTTAAATCTTCGAATATATCAGAGCCCGCGTTGAAATTTAAGATTGCTTGGGAGCCAAGAAGTCATAGTTGTCCGACATCCCTTTTTGCACACCTTTTTTGCGTGGTGCTTTTGAAACTTTCACGGGGGTAGCTATAGGCTTGACCCTTTGGCCATAAATGCTATTAAATGATCGCTTCCCGACTCCACTCCCGTGATTGCCAGGGCAAACTAGTTCATTTCTTGTACAAAAGACAACGTTCCACGTATAGTGTAAGGGTTCCGTGATGATTCTATGGAGTATACATGTGCTCAAGATACATGTTTACATATCCCCATCCAATTCCATCTATGCGCCATTATGCGCCTGTGATTTTGTATGCGCCCAGCCATAAAAAGATGGGCCACCCCAGACCCTGCCGGGTCTGCAGGTTCTTCCGGTTCCTACTCTGCACTTCCGTACCGGCTGCCGTTGACCACGGAGGTCTGGCTTGTGCAAAGAAACCGGCTTTTGGAAGGGCAGCGACGATTGCCGTGCATTTCTGAATGTATATGCCAGTAAATGAAAAAGATCCTAAAATCCACCATTTGTCTGTGTTTCCTCCAGGAATTTCAACTCATTTTAGAACCTCCAAGGCGGTCGTTCGATGGTGGAAATCCAGGACATTCCTGCATTTTTCTTGATTGAAGCAGCACATCAATGATATTGGATTACGATGATATTATCTCATATATCATACACATATACAAACTGGCGCCCCCCAATAACCTGGTGTTAGGGACAATGATGCGCTAGTGTACGTATAATTATGTGCATATGATATAATTATTCCACAAAAGAATCATAAAATTCATCGCCAGTGATACAATCATGAAATAGCATGAAGGTACCAAATAGTATAGTAATCATCCCATTCCATTTAGAGATTTCCCAGGCGGGGGCATGGTTGAGCCCCGGTAGGAGCTGCTCTCCGCGCCCGACAAGGCGCTCGATTTTCATGGTTTTGGGCCATTGATAGCGATATGGGGATATTCATGGAAAATGAATGGGATAATCACGGTATGGATATCAATCCCCCATAGTGAAATATCCATGAATATCCCACTAGATGATTTTCCCAGCTCCATTTAGTTCGGGGAGTTTCCAGCTTGATTTATGTTTGATTACCTGGGGGTGCTTGATTTTGATGATTTTACTGGTGCAAGTGGCGATCTTGCGGTGAGGAGTTTTGACCGTCAAAATGGGTCCTTTTCTCGGCCCGTCAGAAAGGTGAATGGCATGGCCGGATGGCCCTACAAAAATCATGACTTTTCAGAAGGTCGAGTCATCAGATTTTTCGCACATCCTCATTACATTAATATGTTATTTGTGCTGCTGATCCTCATTTTTCCATATTTTTCCCAGATATTTGGAACATTTTTCCCCTAAAGCCTCCACCTGGAGAGCCCAGGCACTCCAAGCGGGCTCGGCCATCGCGGAACCCGAGCCCGATGCCCGGAGTTCCTGGGTCACCTGGGTCAATGGATGAATGGTCATTTTTCATTCATGGATCACATGCGGATTTTAAAAAAAAATGCCACAGAAATCTGCAAGTGCAAAATAGGAAATGTGAATTAACTTTTATTGTTACACCCACGGTGGTGATGAGTTTTGATGAGTTTTGCACAAATCGTGGTTACGTGCTACTCCAATTGCACAGGGTGTTCCCCTATTAAGGCGCTTGCCAGCTATGGTTTAGTTCCCTGTGTTGATGATCAACTCATACTTTTTGATGGTCAAACCTGGTCCAATCCGTTCTTCTGGTCGAATCCAAAATGTTTGTTACTTGAACCATCTCAAAATCCCCTGTGCGTGGTGATTAAAACATATGAAAACCACATTTTTGATGCTGACAGAATGCTAAAATATTTAAATCCCCTATCCTTTCTGGATCATTTTCTTTCCTTCGTTCCCTCCATCGCACGGCGCCATGGCACGTTGTGGCGCCCAGGGCGTTGAACGCCTTGGGGAAGCAGAAGGAGAAGGAGTCCATGGAGAAGCGCCAAAGGCGGCAGCGCAAGGACCTGGGCATGTCATGGGATGGAATGGGTACCCAGTTCCTAACGAGTTAACTGATTTAAATGATCAACGGGAATTTCATGGCCTTATATATATATATATATATCATTATATATATCCAATTATATATATATATGGTAGGTACCTCCAATTTAGGTTCCTGAAATGGCCATTGAACTGATGTTATCGTTAGAACATGTTAGAACTACAATGTAATGAACTCCATGGTCCACCTATTGTTGGTTTCACGCCCCATCTTCTGTAATGGCTTTTGCTGGTCGGCTCATGGATTTCTGGCCATGTTTTTGGCTTCCCAGCGGCATGGCCCACACGAGGGCATGGCCCCATGCGAGGCGTGGGCTTGATCCAAGTCATGGAAAATCATGGAAGTGATATAAGCATAGCCAAAATGCATCAACATGTAAAGTTAGAATTTGTTAATAACATGCTATAACCCTCTTTTTAAATACATATATATATATAAATGGGATGCACCCTCAAGTAGGGTGATACCAAGGTTTACGTGGATGCGCATGTCAGTTGGGTCCAGCTGGTCTCTGGTGTTGTACACTTGTGCTGGGTATAACGGTACAACACACACAGTTAATAAATGGGACAATGTATGGGATATGCATCAGCTACTGTACTCGCTGCCCATGGTTTACCCAAATGCTATTGGTAACATTTCCGTCTTTATTGCATGAATCACAGTAACCACTGTATGGACAACATAGATTTTTGGCAATATTTCCATGCTTGATGCATGGCTGTAGGATCAGTGGCTGGTGGCGATGTGATTTTCCCAGTTGTGTGGCTTGCTCAGCTTCTTTTCTGGGATCCCATCAGCCTACTATAGACATAGAAATAGGGCGCGTTTTTACGCGCGCTAAGCGCAACTGGGGGGTCAGCAATGCTGTCCACTGCGCAAGCAATGCTGGAACCGGTGCCCTTCTACATGTACGACGACCCTGCGTTGTTGGTTGGCTGCTTGGTGCTCCACGTCCACGGTTGAGACTGGTGATAAAGATCAGATAAAGAGCAGAGGTTGAGTAGCAAATTTGGATGTGAATTCCTAGGAACCAATAGAACTGGGCTTCAAGTAACAAAAGATAGAGGACCTGGCACTGGATAGTAATATGGCATGTATAAATGACCTCAGGGCTGGCGAGTTGTCCTTGAACGCGAGAACCGACACTCACAGCAGGACCGTCAATATTCCAATGCTGATCACATCTGGTCAGTCTTCAGCACATAGCATATCAACTAAACTGGGGTCTTCGTTAGTTACTACCCTTTTTGTAGAGGAGTGGTAACTGCACTTTCCAGTTGCAAGACAATCACTCAAGTAGCTACATCCCTATTGTGAGTTGTATCACCAATATTAAAAAGCCATGACTATTGGATTCGCCATGCAAAACAACAATTTAAACCCAGTCTTCGTTGCGCCGTATCCGCATATTTTGATGGCTGAGTGGTTGAATCCGCATTTATATGCATTTAATAGATTTTAATAGATTTTAATAGTCAATCTCCCCATTTTTATCCATTTTTATCCATTGTTTGGTGGTCAATGATAGTCAATTCCTCCCCATTGAAGTGACATTTCTGGAGCATACGATTTGGTCATATCCCATGGAGCACAGCTGGAGCTCTGAGGACTGATGGTGGAGTGTGCCTGGGCCAATGGGATCACCCAGCACTTCCCATTCCTGGGATGAACATTCGCAAAGAAAAAGGCCTATGGACGGAGATCATATGAGATAATTATAGATAATCAGTGATAATCAGATATGTTCACTTCATAAACCACCATCATCATCATCATCATCAACCCGACTACACAAGGCTGATTTTTGCATACTTTTGAATGATATTACACCATCTCTGATGGGAGATGCTTTTGATTATAACTTATAACCAAGCTATAAATGGGTTAGAGCTATGATCCAACTGAAGGCATGGCAGCCAAAGAACGGGACGCCGAAGAAGGAAGGCGCTGGTCTATGCCCTCCTTCGATTTGAGACGCTCGAAGCAGCTGATTTGATGAGGGGCATCAAAGCCATGACTTTGGGGTGAAATTGGCATATTACAAAGGCATGGTAATGGATAGAGCGAAAGAGAGAACAGCAACAAAATGAGAAACGCGATGGATAGAGAGTGTTTTGGTAAAGTCTGAGCAATCGCGAGCAAATTGGTATGGCTATTCCGAGCCAGTACAGGTTTCTGACGATTGCACAGTGGGTTGCCATTCCAGTCAGAACTCATGATTTTCCATTCCATGCCCTTTATGAACTCGGCAGGTTACTTGTCAAACCCCACATGGATATGATCATGTTCAATTACCCTCTGGTAAACTAACAAAACATAACTATGGAAAATCACCATTTTTACTAGGTAAATCAACTATAAATGGCAATTTTCAACAGCTATGTTAGTTTATCAGAGGGTATATTCACTTAGCTCAGATGCTTAGCACCCCGATGGGCATGGCTTAATTGGCTCCCCAGCCGACCAAGCCCGGGAGCTTTTTCATTTGTCTTCAGAAGCGGACCCCGAAACACCTCAAAAGTGCTGGATCAACTTCCAACAAAGAGCCACAGATGAAGATGGCATAGATATTATACGTATATATATATATTTATCATATATATATATATAGAGATATTATTTTCAAATTTATCATAGATATTTATTGTTATTGTAAATGTCAAACTTCCCCTGAACAGATGCAAACAAAGAAGGTCTTCACCGAGCGCCCTGGGTTGGACCTCTGCCAGGATACAATTCATCTCGTGGCACGGTGCAGCTTGGCAGGGCTGAAGAGCCCGTGAAACAACGATCGCATGAAGCCAAAAAGAAGGGGATCTTAGCAACTCACACGCGGGATTATATAAACATATATACCCTCTGGCTATTTAACATAGCCATGGGAATGGCCCATTTATAGATGGTTTACTTATTAAAAATGGTGATTTTCCATGGCTATGTTAGTCATAACCAGATGGTAAACATGAAATTTGATGAACAGTTTGATGTTTTGTAGTTTCTGCTTGGGGGTGCAATTGAGATTATAAGAATAATTAGCCTGGTCATTTTTAACCCCCCCATCAGTTGGGATATATAAGACCTGCAACTATGGTGGGCCGCATTTCAGGTTGTGATTTATCTATAGAAAGTTGGGGGAAGAATATGGAAGAATTGGGTCTTGACACAATCACTTTAGTTAGTGTGGGGCAAGAAGACATGAATGAAGGTTGTTTCTTGGGGGGTATGCTACTAGTCCTTAGTTTGTGACTATGCGTGCTGATAACCTGAATGGTTTCGACACAAAATATATCAAAATATGGTATGACACAATATTCCACAATTCAGAGTTTAACAAACCTTCAAGTCCAATTGCGAATTCGGTGTCTGCCCATTTCTGGACAAACATATGTTGACAAGTTGGCCAAGCGAAGGAAATTCCACAAGGGGGTAAAGGCCACTAGAATACCTGCAATGGTGATTGCCGTGCAGTGCCTTTCCCCTTCCATCGGTATCATACCTTAGCCATCCCAATAAATCAGCGGTTCACGAATCCACGCTTGACATTGGTAGGTGCTAACTCTCTTCCTTGATAAAACCATTCAGCATATACTAGTGACACTAGGTACAGCTTGACTAGTTGAGTGACTTCATATTTGTTTACCATAAACATTTGAAACGGGCAACGATCAGGAATCGACTTTTCTCTTGCAGCGTATGTAATACTCGCGATGAGTGAGTCAAGACCAAACAAATGCCTTCTCGATCTACTTGTTCAGGTGAGCTTATCATGTCTATAGTTGGCTTATACGGACTTACTTATACAATCTTATGCAGACTTATACACTAATTTTCATATAGTAAGTGTATACACTAATCTTCACATGTCCATGTGATACACTTTCTGATGCAGAACGTTTCTTAAAAAAGTGCCTAAATATGGCACGTTTTTTTTCAGCAAGTTTTGTGAAACACCTCGAAGGCACGAGTTCTCGGCCTCCAAGTACTTCGTGCGGATGATGATGACGCATCCCTGGCGGACCTGGGACCCGAAAGTCGCCGAGGTCTTCATCGTGCCGCGCCTCGGTGCGGTCGGTACCTTTTTGTGGTGGGAGATCAGCCGAAAACTTCACGGTTCAGCCATCTATAACCCATAGGATCCATGTATGGTATATATATATATATATATATATGCTAACATGACTGGGGTATATTGATGGGATCCATGTCACCATATATAGCAGCACCATGGATCCTATGGGTAAGTTAAGCCATATGAATAAGGCGATGCGGAGTTGACATTACTTGGATGTGCACCCCAGCAGCACATCAACTTACATGATTGGACTATGAACATGATATTGAATACAAGGTAATTATCGATGATCCCAATTTTGGTTCAATATTCGGCATTGATTTGTGATATTCAGTTTTATTCATATTTGCAATTTTCCATATTTTCGTTTCACCCCGACATCTATCAGTTAAGCCATATTAAGGCATATTATGCATGGTTCAGCCATGTTGAGCTATATTTAATCATCCAAAACACATATTCACACATACATTTATATAACATAATACAACACAACATAGCGTAATATAACATAGCATAATATATATATAACATAGCGTAATATAACATAATATAACATAGATATAATAATATAATATAATATACTCTGACATGTTATACAACATGTTCAATCATGACACAACATATGGCCATGGCCCAGGACGGATGTGGAGCCCGTCTACCTGGAGGAGGGTAGCCAGGGTCCCTGCAGCGCGCGGCAATACCAGGTGCACCTTTGGGGAGCCATCCAGGCGCTGTTGCTTGGAGCACCCCAAAATCCATTGTTGCTATGGAAAATCACCATTTTTAATGGGAAAATCCACTATTTCTATGGCCATTTTCAATAGCTATGTTAAATTACCATTTGGAACATCCAAAAATCGCATGTTTAAACTCAGAAAATTCGAGTTGTTCATGATGAAAAAGTGTGGTTTACCCGGCAAATATAGGAGATTTGACTAAAAGAATTGGATTTTCACCAACAAAAATGGGGATCTCAGGATCAGAAATGATGGTTTCACCATCAAAATTTTGGATTCAACCAAATGCAGATTTCTCCAACAGAAACAATCCTCAATGCGCCTTGGGCCATTGATGCTGTCAGCATCGGCATTGGCATCATCATCATCATCATCATCACTACTACAGTATGGGGATGATCCAACCATCTCATGGCAAAGTTGGTGTAACTCCAGGCTCCCTCTGGCTTGCGGTTTATAAACAAATTGAGAAACTGGGAGGCACATGGAGGCACCACACTGCAACAATAGTGGTTCAAGCCTCCATCAGGGATTTACCAGCCATAAATGGGACTAAACATGACTAAACCCAGCAACAATAGGGATATAAACTAAATAACTAACATAAATCATCATGACTTTATGATCCCCACAGATTATCTAAGGAAAATATCTAAGATGTTCCATGATTTTCCTCCGTGCCTGGGTGATGATCCCCACAGAGACAAAATTTAGATCTTTTGGGGGAGCACGCACGAGTTTTTGCCTATGAAAACCAAACATCTTCTGGGCTGCATCTCGGCAAATACTAATATAATCTACTATAATAGGAAAGGGATTTTATCCACAAACCTCGCAGGAACCAAGTTGGGTGCCCTAACTGGTTTCTGGAACAACTTCCAAGCACCAGTTCAGCAAGGAACCAGTGGAGAATAATCGAATTTCGTATCTGCATGCTGTTTACTGTTTACCATTGCCAATACCCGGGCTTCAAGACTGGTGCCAATTACTCTCTGCTAAAACAGGGCCGGGGATGCCCGCCATTTTTTCGTGGGAGCATCAAGTGAGCATGGGGGAGTTTTCATTGCAAAGTTAGATTGCCGATGCCGTGAATGTGGACTGGTAGGGCCAAGTTGATGGGTGTGACCCAAACTAATGGATCCCCAAAAACCGGACTGTTTTTGTTACGTTTTTGGTTTGTCTCAAGCAAAGATGCACAATCATTTTTTGGTGTCCAGACCGTTGCCCCTTTTTCTGTGGCCATGGCCAACTCTCGAGGTTCGAGAAGCCGCATATTCGAGCGAAGCAGGGAGCGGACCATTTCTGGATGATGTCCCAGAACGACCCGGAACGGCTCATCGAAAAGCACGCCCCAGAGTTGGCGGAAGAAATTCGTGCGCTGCGACCTGGTGGAATGGTGTGGATGTTGGGGAAATAGCGGAGTGATGTCAACCCGGATTACAAAACCCCTGGGCTGTGTTTTTGGAGATAAGATGATAAGAATGTTATAGAATGTGAAATATCACTGTATTGCAAATTGCCACTTCTACCGGGAACATACCCTTTTTTGGGAAGCTCTTTGGTGCAGGGGAAAGGTTGGAGATCCTGGGGTACTGAGCCATGGATTGCATCCAGAGTCACGTCACTGGGATTTTCCCAGTTATAAATCCCCATGATGTCCCAAGGCCTATGAAGGATTATGATGGTACATATATCCCAATATTATCCCATTAAGTCACCAGGTTTAATTTCGTTACATCTCCAATTTTAGTATGTTGTTACATCCCCAGCATATCCAATGATTTCACCATCATGGTTCAATCATCATATTGAAGACTACATCACCACGATTGATGGCCGCGAAATCAGCCTTTTTAGAGGCTTGGATTCATCCTGTTCCCCAGACGTCCTAGTGAAAAAAATCCGTTCACATAATTCGCCATGGAGGAATTATCTGCACTTCATGTCAGTGGGGGCCATGGAACTCTTCCCTCTCCGTTCGTTGGAAGCGCATCCCGTGCGCGAGTCGATCTTCGTGCTGAATGGCACCCGGAGGAACGGTGGAGCTTGGGGTTACCAGCGAGGTTAGGAAAGATGTGTAGTACATCATATAGTTCTACAATATCAATCACTAATTATTATAATATATAAATATATATATATATACACATGTGCATATTTTATATTTATTTATGTTTATATTTATTATTATTATTATTCTTATTATTATAATGTATATATATATATGTATTAAGCAGTTTAGTATAATTAATATAATTAGTTCTATATGATGATGATGATGATGATGATGATGATGGATGATGCACATAGTATGAGTAGATGAGTAAGAGATTTACATCAGACTTGGGATGATTTTTCGGGAGGAATTTGTTTGCCCGTCGTTTTTTTTGCCACTGATGAGTATTGATAGCGGAATATACGCACCAGCTTTTTTGGGGGGTGGCACAACTTAAAGCAGGACCCCCAATGAATTTTGAGGACAAACCAGCATCCCTTAGGCTACAACACAATGATTTCAGGGGTGCAATGCAATTTTTTCGTTGCAGAACATATCAGAAATCATCTCACATTCCAAAAAGATCATAGGGTAAATTGCATCTAAATCACAACTTTTTCGGTTGATTAAATTGATTAAATCAATGGATTGGTTTAAGGGAAAATCTACAGGTAGCCGTCCCCATCTTTGATATAGTTCATGGGCACCGGTGTCTTGTAGATTTTCCCACCAACGCCGTGTAGGAAGCGTGCTTGGCGCTGCTCCATGCCGGTACCCTTTGTGCCGTGGCCACGCTACAAACCAAAGAAGCCAATGATGAATTGCTTGATATCCAATGCGCTCGTATTTTTGCATAGTAACGTTGTATGAATGCATCTTTATTCTGTAGAATCTAGAAAAGAAAGGTATAGATGTTGTGGCTAAGCTTGTGCCGCATGATTCCGCATGATCAAGCACTTTGCGATGGACATTGGGATGATTCTCAAAAATAAACCAGGCAACACCATGGGAGAAGATGCAGCTTGTGAGGGTTGTAAAAACAAATCCATTTGAAGTGGCACTTGTGTTTTCTCTAGTGTTTCTTGTCATCAAAAAGTAAATATCGTTTCAACTTGGCAAGCCCCTCAATAAAAACATCAACATTCATCAGAGTTGTGGTGCTAGACGCATCCTTTTTGAAACAACATAGCAATGATTTGGTTGAGCCAGCTATCGATAACTTTTCCGCCATGACATGGTCGAGGCCTGTCAAAACCAAGGTACAGAGTTTTCCTTTCGCCGACAGCGCGCAAGAGTCCTTCGCCTCCTTTACTGTCCCTTGGTGGCAACGGAGGGTCGATTTGGACTTCATGAGCAAGCATGACCAATGGCGAATGGCTGAAAACGAAATGAAACGAAATAAGTATGAGTAAAATGTCGAACAATAAATATCCAAAGGGTCTTAAAGTATAAACAACCAAAACTGGCATAATTACCGCCAGCATGGGCCAGCCAAATTGCTTGATTTCAGGAATCTAAGGGCGAACCGTGCTTCAACTATGCAAATGAAAGGTGATCGAAACATACCCGCCACGCAAATCACTTGAGATATCCAGGGCAACCTGCAAGTGGCGTGATTTTCATCAATTTTCCTCGTGATTCTGCCGGAGACCTTCAACGTTTTGATCCTTGCTCCGATATGACCATAATAGCCAGGCCCACAGAATAGTTTTTGACGATGTAATTATGTACACCTACGGGATTGTTTCTTGCCATTCAAATTCAATCGGTACATTTTTTATCCTTTTTTCTGATTTGGGAAGTGCCATCATTTGCTGAGAGCATCCAAGCTGGCTCCAAGGCGTGGACACGCAGGAAGTATTTGTTCTATCACCAGCACCTTGGCGGCCTTGGGATACCAGCGGTTTTTCAGCCCCCAGTCATCCTCTAGATCCCTCTAGGAATTTCACATAATTATGGACAATCACAATTTTTCTGATAAATCATGTATAAATGGGCCATGGCTTGTAACAACCAGAGGGTAAATTATGGTAAACCCTATTATATAGATGATTAAATCATGATCGATTCCATTGATGTTTGATGAAATTATCCCATGATTATCATGGATTTATTGAACATCCATTATATCAAACTATCCCATGATTATCATGTTTGATGGTTTCCATGATTATCAAAGCATAGTGACCATCAAACATATATCAAACATCGAAGCGGATCGACGAAGCGCGGAGAGGTTCTCGGGCCTTTACCAGGATGACCGCTCCAGGGAGCTGCGAACGCAGGACAAAACGTGGGTTGGAAAAATGGAAATCCTTGGAAACTGGTGAATTTGATGGAAATTTCTATTAAGATGATGATAATTCACATGATTTTCATGGTTCACATCATCCACAAGAGGATGATAAATGATTGCTGGAAAACCTCTGGTTGGCTGCGATGGTGTGGTTGGCCATGAACGAGGCTAATCATTCGGAATCGGATTACATGGGCGAATAACTTTGAATTCCAACTGTCATGATGGTCCATATATTACCATATGATGCCCAAAAAGTGAGATGGTTGATGTAATAATTTAAAGATATTGTCGCTACAAGAAGCTTAGATAGGGACCATTAGGGACCCGTTTTTTGTGGGTCCCAATCTGCTTTGATCATCAGTACCGAACGCCTGGGTCGCTTATACAGCCATATCACCACTATTAGCATCGTCCCGCATGGAGAGACGCCCTGGTAATGTAGCTATGGCAGCTATGGGTAGCTATGGTAAATGACCCATTTGTAGATGATTTATATTTTATAGCTCTTAAGCATGGCCGTTTGATCCATGACAAACTGTTTAGTCATTACCGGAGAGTATTCACCAATATTCCACTAATGTTCCATGATATCACCATTATATCATATATTATATCCATCAAAAACCACCATTGGTTCCATGACTAATGTCGTAAACCCAATTTAATCAACCATCCCCCAAAATCACAATTTTTATGCGGGCTATGTTTACCACCCCCAGATGGTAGTTCTTTATGGCAGCTACCACCGTATGATCCGTTGTCTTTGTCAAATCCCCATGAAATCCCTATGGGGTTTACTATTACCATCGGATTCCCTAAAAAACCCATGTAAAATTTGTAAGACCCTAAAATTTGGGTGAAATGAATACCTTTTGGAAGTTAAATCACTATATGAATCACTACCTTTTGGTGAAATCAATCGCTCTGTTTCCCACCACATGACCCGGATTCCCGGAGGCTAACGTAAAGGATTCCACCAGCGCACCAGGCTTTAAAGATTCCCGGCGTCTCGCGCTACCCGCAGCGTGTCTGGGTGGGCGATCGCTTTGTTGAGAGCCTCTCGGCGTTTTTTTGTGTCGGGTCGCCATGGAAATCACGGGCGGATAGGCAGTGGAGCCGCTGGAGACATTGTGACTTTTGATGATTTTTGATGGGTATGGATCAATACCTATTAATACCATTTTTAGTGGGTTATTCACATCCATTTACCAGCTATTTTGATGTTCACCAGAGGTACAAGGTTTTGACACACTGCCATGTGGCTTCGATATGGCTTTTCCGCAAGATGATGGTAGAATCAGCAACTCATGTATATCCGCACGAAAGTGGAATGAATTGGATTCGTAGGGATTTTTACTGAGGCCTTGTTGAGGGATTGTCTTGTTATGCTATTAACCACTATGAGCCCCACTATTAACTGGATATGCCCTTGGTTTGGCAAGAGGAATGGCTTGATATTTTTTTCATACCATTTATTTTGCACTGTTTTGCGATTTGTAGGGCTGCAGTATTTCATTTCCTGCTGAAACAAAACTTTCCATCTATCCTACATTAAAGAGATTTAAAAATAAAATCTGGAATCTGGAGGAAACCACCATGATTGACGGGAAGAACGATGGTTTCCTTCTATATTTTTCCCTAAACCAATCCATTAAATCTAAAAAAATGTGGGCTGTGTGCGAGGGAAAATCCTCCGAGAGTCTGAGAATCCCTGGCAAAAAATCCATTGAATCTACTGATATACCTATCTCTATAAGTAATCCCATCCCCCTTCATATTAAACATCATCTCAATCTCATTGACTCATTCAATGCTCATTTTTGGGTGGAAGGGATGACTGAAATCCCTAGTGAAATCCCTAGGTAAATCCCATTACCCTCTGGTAGACTAACATAACTATGGAAAATCACCATCTATAGTAGATAAATCCACTATTTGTATGGTCATTTTCAATAGCTATGTTAAATTACCAGAGGGTAAATCCCTAGTTAAATCCCGTTGGCCCATTGGCATTGATCCCGTTGAAACCCCGCAGGCGACTCCCTGCTGCAGGGCTTCCGCAGCTCGCGCTTCTGCTTCGCCATTGCTGGACGGAAGCACGGATTTCACGGCGCACGGCACGGAGCGCCCATGAGAACAACATATGGGCTCCACTAAGGGTATGAAGAATGGTTAGTAGTGGTTACTAATGGTTAATTGTGATTAATGATTCATGGTGATTGATGATCATTAATTGATGGAATTACCCTTCCAGTGTCATCAAGCACAGCTTGCCGGAAAATCCTCCTTTATGGGGCCAGCTATAAACCTCCATCTATAATTAGGGGATTTCCAGTTGCCATGTTTGATTACCAGAGGGTAATGGTACCGGTGGTTTGACTATTATTGTAAATGCAATGGTAATGGAATTTGATAGAATAGATGGATCCATACCATTGAGAATGCTCTTAATTACAATATCATTTTACAGTGAATGGGCATGAATACAACAATTATATATGGTTGCTTCCAAAGAGTAGCACTAGGGTTATCGAATGATCATTTGGGGAATTAGCACTAAAAAATGGTCGATGAAAACCAACCATATCCAACCATATGGTGGGGATATAATTGGATAGTTGGGTTACTGGGTGTGATATGCCATTGTTTTTTTTTTTGCGGGTAGTTCCTGATTTTAAGACACCCATGTCCCTCTGAGTGGCTGGAAAATAACTTCAAAAGATTTAGGGGCAGTTTTGGGCCAAACACATGATGAATATCTGGGCCGACAATGATTTTTGGCAGTTTAGCGGCCAATTCAAAGGCAAATAGACTGCAACATACTGTAGCTGAAGATGTTGTTTTGTTTGGTGTGCAAAGCTTCTGAACAGCAAGATCAAGTATCTGAAGTATGGTGTCCGGCTTTGGGTTTGATTAGCAATTTATAGTCGAGCCATTGCAGTATGGTTGACGCTGGCTCTGTTTTTGGCAGTTTGGCCGGACTGCCGCATTTTCCAATGAGTTTCACTTCAATTTCAGCTGATTTCGGCCTCTCGATAGTCACTGGAGCATTTTTTGTTCGTTGGGATTTGTGATGAAAAGCCAGGATTTTTTGGGGCCAGCGGCCAGGTGAAATGATCCCATCCCCCCTATGGTCCAGTCATTGTCTTATCCCTACATCCACCATGGTTTCTAGGGGTGTTTAATAACGGGGAATGGAACTATGACTCTATCCGATATTGTATGACATTACTATATGTAGTTTACCTGATTGTACGCCCCTGGTGTCCAGCACATACAATTATCATCTATAGAATCACTTCTTCGGATCTTTTTGATTTTGGAAGAATTGTTGGCTTCAAAAAGTTGGAACCTACCATTCGCGTGGTGTTTGAAGCTGGCTCCGCTTGTTGTTGAATAGGCCATGTTTTTTTTACGCATCATTTGATGCAACATTCAAGCCATCCTCAAAGACATGGTGTTTACCTTGTATCACCAACAGTTACATACAGGGTTTTTTGAAAGTGTCCGGAGAGCACAAATGGTGGCTATCTTGTCATCGACAATGGGTGACGTCAAATATACGATCACGTTTGCAGATTTGCACCTCCTAAAAGTTTTAAGAACTTGTTTTTTTTTGTGTTTTTGTCTTGGCAGTAAATTGTCATCCCAGGAAGGGAGGTGCAACCCGGAAGTTCTACGATGCGGTGGCCCACGGTTGCATCCCTGCCGCATGACCGGAATTGAAATCAAACCTCAAAATCTTGAATCCAACAAGATCAAAACCTCTGATTTTTCGGTTCCATTTCCATTTCTCATCATTTCTAATTATATAATTCTCTGAGTTTTAACATGTCATCGTTGGTGGGTCGAACATCTTCAGAGTAAACCGAACCAAACAAGATCCAACACCTATTTTTCTATCATTTTCTCAGGTTTTTTTTTATCCCCAGTCTCTCATTTTATCCGTTTTATCCTCAAATTTCCCAAACAACGTGAGCACCAGGTGGTGATCATGGACCAGTGGCGCTTCTCCTTTTCGCCCTTCTCGGGCCACGTGCGCCATGAAGACTATGCCATCTTCGTGCCGGAGGAAGCGCCATTGATAGAGCTGTATACGTTGTTTTTTTGGTTGAAACAACAAATTTTTGACTATGTTTAATGGTATATGCTTGGAACAAGAAGAATATGACATAAATGGTCAATAAAATATAAATTTCATGTTGTTTCCAATGTCTCTTTATTTCTATCAATTACTTTCTAATTGCATTTTCTAATTGCATATCTTAGTTAGTTCTCTCTCTTGGCGCAGGCAATTCAGACAGGGGTTTCCCACCCATCGCCGCTGAGCTGTTTCTGTGTCAGGTCCATCCCCATTCGATGAATCTTCCAGTATTCCCATGTATTTCCAAATCATCATGGCTTCCTCTCCTATTTCCAAATCATATTCCATGAAGATTTCCATATCCCATGCATACTTTCATAGAATTTGGAATCTGATTTGGATATGGCCCATAGATTTTGGATGATTTTGGCATATTTCTACTTCATATCTCATTGATATTTGGACATATGATCCAACATATTTTATCTGGTTGGTGGTTTGGAACATGGCTTTTATTTTCCATTTCACATATCAACGATAATCCCAACCCCATTGACGAACTCATATTTTTCAAGATGGTTATTGCACCACCAACCAGTTACCCTCTGGTTATTTAACAGTTCGCCATGGTTTTTCGATGGCCCTAATCGAAATAGATGGTTTACCGTTCTTCAAAATGGGTGGATCGATCTTTCCATGGCAAACTGTGAATGTCATAACCAGAGGCTAGTCATCCCATTAAATCCCATTAAATCACCATAAGACCTACTAAATCATAGTAAATCCTGGTTAAAAAGAACCACTTTATACCCATCCATTTCCAGGAGCGCTGGCTGAACGATCTGCCGGGCGTGATCCGCGAGCTGGAGGAGAGTTTTGCGAGTTCGGAATTCGGAATGGGTGGATTTCAAGGGGGGACTTTCCACCAGTCCAAAATGGTGATTTCAATGGGGGTACCATGGGGTACCCCTATGGACTTAATGGGATTTAACGAGATTGAATGGGATTTTCATGATGATTTCAATGGGATTTATGATGATTTCATGGGATTTCATGGCATTGAATGGGGATTTAGTGGGGATCTAATGCTGATCTAATACCCTAAACGGTTATTGAACCGTTTGCGAACTGGAAAATCGTTAAATGTAGGTAAATTCTTAATACATGGGCAATTTTCCATAGCTATGTTGAATTATTGGAGGGTAATAGCAACCCCCAAAAAAGGTATATAACGCTCATTTCAATCACTATCACTATTTTCAACGGGATGTTTACTTTTCTAGTCTAGTCATTTCTATCTTCTTGGAAGTTGCTATACTTACTATAGATAGTGGTCAATTACTGTTCCATCTTTCAGGGGTTGCTTTAGGGGAACACTGGAACAGCCCGAAACCATCGTATTTTCTTGGTACTTATACCTATAGTTTCCTGTGGCCCCGGAGCCAGATGAGTGCAGAGTGGAAATCCCGGGTGCGTATATGATATAACTGGCTCAGGGGCCCGCAAGTTACAGGAATATATATTCTAACTGCATATGCTACGATATATATATATATATACACATTATATACAATATTTGGGCTAGCAAGTGAAGGTAAATATTGGGCAAATACCAAACATGTGATGATTAGTGATGACTCGACTCGGCTGGGAACGTGATAACCCAACCGATCGATGCAGTGGTACCTGCGGCAGTTTTTGGAGTAGTCTTGTTTGCCCAAGCACCTTTCATGAGCCTTTCATGACCCGATAGCCACCCATTTCCTTGGGTCCATCATTTGGATTTTGACCTCACAAATGTGTTGAGGATTTGTGAGAATCTGAGCAAATATGTTGTTGTTTTTCTATGAGGAAGGTGCTGATAAACCGCTGGATTTGGGTATATACCGAGCCCTGCTGTCCTCCGGAAGAGGACATGCCTTACCACAAGCTGGCCGTGCGCTACCGCGCTCTCAGAGATGCCACCTAGATGATGTTAGATGATGATAACCTGTAGGATGTTCGTTTTGTTCAATTAACATATTGAGGATTATTGAGGTGTATAAATATGTATATATATATAATCATTGAGGTGTATATATATATATATATATCAATATGTTATATATATATATATATATATACACCTCAACATATATAGCATTTTTGCGCGTTCACCATTGGACATACCCAACTTGGCCTCCACCATGTCGCAGATTTGTGAAATCTGGAAGTCCACCAACATGCCGTGGAAATTGGCAAAGTTGAAACAAAAAGCACCATCCAAATGGTTGGTGGTAAACAATGCCATGTTTGGTGGTAAAAAACATGGAAAAATGCTATTTTTGCTGGCAAAATCACCATTATTGCTAATACCATCACCATTTTTGTTGGTTAAATCACCATTTTTGTTGGTTAAATCAAAATTTTTGTTGGTCAAATCACAATTTTTGATGGTTAAATCACCATTTTTGATGGTTAAATCACCATTTTTGTTGGTTAAATCACCATTTTTGTTGGTCAAACTCCCCATTTTCGATCATCCCAGATTTTCCCAGGTGGCTCCTTTCTTGGTGTACGATCGCCCCGACAGCCACGCGCTGGGTGCAGTGCTGCTATGGGAACTGACGCTGGGATTTGCGCATGGGATATAGGTATTACCCTCTGGTTATTTGACATAGCCATGGAAAATGGCCCATTTATAGATGGTTTACCTATATATCAAAAATGGTGGCTTTCCATGGCTATGTTAAATAACCAGATGGTATATGGCATTATACATAATACTATTGGGATATATTGGGATATAGGTGTCTACCATTATTGGGATATTATTGGATAATTATTGGTTATGCGCCCTTATTATGTTTTTCCGTTTGAAGGGGGAGATGATGTGGTAAACCCATTCTTGGACGCGGTGCCGATCATCCAGGAAGGGGAACTGCGGCATCAACTTTCCCCCAGACATCCACGACGAGCGGATCTATCCAGCATCTCAGCGGAAAACATCGACGGAGATCCTTACATTGATGAATGGTTTTCAACAGGAAATCACCTATAAATGGAGGTTTCATGGGAAAATCAATTTTAATTAGTGAGGTTTTGATTTTTGCAAATTCTTTATAAACTAACAAATGGGACAACAATGTTGCCTACCGTTTGACTCCAAAACCATGTTTTGTCCAAAGCAGCCGAAAAAAGGCAATAGACAGAGGATACAGGATGATACAGGATGATACCTGATGATACAGGCATATTAAAACGTATACCCTCTGGTAAACTAACATAACTATATGGTCAATCACCATTTTTAATGGGAAAACTGACTATAAATGGCCATTTTCAATAGCTTTTTGTATGTTTACCAGAGGGTAACTTCCACAGCGCGAGGTCGGTGTGCCCCTACAGCGTCGCGTGCTGCGGCCCGGCCTCAACGGCACGGCGGTGGCGCAGTCACTGCTGGCGCAGTCGGGGCCGAGGGCACTGGCATGGCGACAAGATCCTGTGTTCACCTTGCAATTTTTCGGGTGACCTGCAGAAAACCTCGGCAAAAATAGGGATTTAACCAGAAAACAAGATAAACAAGCAATACTAGACGACGGATGGTCCGAGAGCGTGGAGGAGCAAGTTACTCATTTGTAAGTATAAACACTATGCAAGAAGTATGTAAACAATACGTTATAAGTAGAAGAAAAGGCAATGATAACGATCGATTGAACATGTAGCAGCTGATCATCAGAAAGATGAAAGAGGTAAGATGTCAAGATGTTAAGATGAAAGCTGAAGAGACGCATTGAAGCATTTGTACTGATACAGAACGAAAGCAAGAATATTAACATTGCAAGGGAGAGGCTGTATGAAGGAAACAGGGTAGTAGAAAGAGAGTGAGGGAAGGAAAGAAAAGATGGAGAAGATGTAGGATGCGAAGATGCAACATGGACACTTTTCTACCGACGCTTTTACACACAAACGCTTTTACACATGGACGCTTTTACACACAGAGCCTTCCACATATAGACGCTTTTACAGACAGACAGACACTTTTACAGACAGACAGATGCTTTTACAGACAGACGCTTGTACACACAGAAGCTTTTTCACACAGACGCTTTTACACACAGAAGTTTTTACACGCTTGCACAAAGTACTTCCCAGTACTACTTTGTACTACAAAACTTGCACAGGGGGCGAGAGGGACAATTGGGGGTTGTTATTGGGTGTACCCCTGGTAATGGGAGGATTAAGAATGATCCCCAGCCATGGCTGGTGAACAGGAAAGCTCAATTATTGGGTTTACCGCATTATATGAAAGTGACTTGCTATCGTACGAAGATGCTATTGAAACACTGGAAGTGGGCATACAACCAACAGACACTTACAACAAATGGGGAGTAAAGATAATGTTTGATCATGTTTCTCTGTTTAAAGGAAAGATAGGAAAGCCGACAAAAGGACGGATTTACCTTACCCACCAACATGTCGCTACCGTGATGAGTCACGCATGGTCACGCTCCCAGATCGAACCAAACTCAGGGAACCTCAGAGTGTCCAGGTGAACATCAGGGGCAACGGCAAAAATCCTCGCACAAACCATGAACTGCTGGTGGTTTCAATTGCTTTTTGAGTTCGAAACCTACAAAAGTGTCCCATGATGCCACGCCATCTAACAAACATGATTAGAATTAGAATATATGGTATATGTCCAATTAAAAATGATCAGATTTATTATAACATGTATAAATGACAAATATCATCAGATATACTATGGACTATCGTTTTAAGTGGGTTAAAACTGAAACCACCACAGCCACGGATATTGTTACCTCGGCTGCGGATCCAAAGCTGATTCACGCCCAATGCGTTTCGTTTGAACGTCAAAAGATGGCCGAAAATCGGAGGCACCCCACAGACTTGTTGCGACACGAGGTCATACGTGGGAATGTTCCATATGATATCCAGGAGTGAGGCAACTATGGTAATTATGGAGCTTTGGATATCCACAGTCCATCATATTCCCTATGAAAAATGGAGAAATAGGGAGGGTTCAAGAGTTTCCCGACCACATGATAGTTTAATATTTTTCGAGTAATAGCTCGACACGTCTTGCTTCCAATATTATTGTGTTGGGGAAAAACATGACCATGTAACCATTGACCATCACAGTGTTGTTGGTATCTGTTGGAGTGTATATCATCTTGGTACACAGGTTCGATCATGGATGCTCTGGCCATCTGTGGGAGCAGTTTCCGAGGAATATCAGCTGTAGCTACAGAAAGTTGTGGCAGTTACCGGTATGGGTAATGATCACTGATATACGGTTACCGTAGCGATGATACCCAGGCTGGTGCTTGCGGTTGACCCCTGGGATCCCTTGGGTCAACAGAACTTCAGCCGTAGAATGGTCGCCCCAAAAACACCTAAACCATGATGATGATATTTAAATTAACCCTTAAATACCATGGAAAACCCATGGAAATTCATGAAACCATATTTTTCCATGTATTTTTCCATGGTTTTCCATATTTTTCCATATTTTTCCCATGGTTGAAGGGTAACCATATCTAAACACCTCCCCCAAGATTTCCGTAGGAGCAAGCTTCGGCCAAGCGTGCCGGTGCCTTGCTGCAGTGGCTGGAGGTGGACCATGGTGGACCTGTCGGTTGGAGAGAAATCTCCCCGGGTGATGTTTAGTAAATTCTTTAAGTATTTTCTACAATATACCCTCCGGTTATTTAACATAGCCATGGAAAATGGCCTATTTATAGAGGATTTTCCCATTAATACCTCCATTTATAAGAGATTTTCCATGGCTATGTTAAATAACCAGATGGTAGTTGTTTTTTTGTGGGGAAATAGTGGGGCAATAACGGGGAATTTCATCAACAGCAACCTTGGGGCCATGAAAATGGCGGTTTCGCATGTTTTGACCATCTGGAATTGGGATGTCGCCGCCAAAAACTGTAGTGAAATCATCCAAAAAACATATCCAAGAAATGCAGCAACTGGTTGGTGGTTTGGAACATTTTTCATTTTTCCATATATAATCCCAACTGATCCCAACTGACTAATATTTTCAGAGGGGTTGAAACGACCAACCAGATATAGTTGTTTTTTTGGTGGGTAAAAAATACTAACTTAAATACTAACAATAATAAAGAATAATAAACATATTTATACTCAAGACACGGTGCTAGCATGGATATTAGTCATGGTTTAACCACCAAAAAATGGTGCTGCAATGGGGATAGAATGGGGAAGAAAGTTCTTAGAATACGTTGGTGATGTTTCATCATCTGTGGATAAATAATATCGATCTCACTGCGACGTCACTGACATCACTGGAATGTGAACCATTATAGTTTAACATAGTTTAACCAGATACAGTAGATATGGAAATCCATGGGTTTTCTTTCGGAAAATGATATGCCAATGGTGGATGCTCCATCAAACATCAGAATTTGACCAACCATCAGCGATGGGGACTCAAACCTGGGTTTTTCATGAGAAACTCTCCGGGCTACCCCAAAAATAGTGATTTTATTAATCCTGGGCTAACATCGCCACGTCATGGGCATGTTGACCCCCCACTGAAACCCAACTTGTTGGCTGGGCCACAATCGATGTAGTGCAATCACCATTTCTGTGTTGTTAGCTTAGATCATTTGGATCTCCATTTTAGTGGTTTTACATGGTTTTACATGTTTTTACGAAGAAATTTGCAATGTAATATCTGTATTTGGCTAGATCATCATCTCCATCCCGGTTCGATCTGACCATGTCTGCTGTGGCAGACCCAACATCAACATCCACTATTGGTCCGTTTTCCTGAGGAAACCTCATGGAATTTTCGATTCGCCAAGCTGAGAACGAATGCCATTTCCTCAGGATACCCCCAGAAAATATGGATATAACCCATTATAACCCATTATAACCCATTATAACCCATTATAACCCATTATAACCCTATGAGGCATGGCGCTTTTTTTTTTGAGAGATTATGAAAGATGATAAGCCCATGGATTTCCAGGACTCCAGGTCCATCGACCTGAGCAACTTGAATCCCCCAGAGGCGCAGATGGAAAAAACGTCGGGGATTTTTGATGGGTAAAACCTTGGGGAAACTGATGGAATCTCATCATTTTTGATGGGAAAAAAATCATTGGTCACACACATATACAATCATACACACACACATAAACACACACATACACACATATATATATATATATGTATATGATTATAATTTATTTATTCGTCATAAACTATAAATTGCTAAGAGCTGATGGTTCAATATGTTCGCTGCACCCCCTACGTTGCTCCGCGTCGGAATCAGAAGTGGCCGAAGTATATAATAGCACATAGCACATATATCATATATTACATCACATATAAGTCAGAGGGGGTGCCAATTTTTGATCCCTTAGGAAGATAAGTTGATGTAATGATCCCTGTCAACGTAGTAGTTAGAGGGGTTGGCGGATTTTGATCCCTCAACAAGATAAGTTCATGTTATTATTATCACCAACATATAAGTCAGAGGGGGTGGCAAATGTTGATCCCTTTATGAAGATAAGTTGAGGATATGGATTGAAACCTTTGGATCATTCCCCCATTCCCTATCAAGCACCAGAAAGATGAGAATGATGATGATGATGATGATTATGATTCTCTTGAGGTGTGGAGCAACGTCCGGGTTGGAGGGAATATGTTTAACCGTTGCCATCATTGATGTTATTGAAACAATGATAGCTATGATGATTCCCAAAGTGGGTTTCTGTTTGATGTGTGAAGGATTCTCGTTTGCCCAGATGTGAAATTGCACTGCTCTATTTTTACATAGTGGAATGCGCTAAAATGCGTGCAGGAAAAACAAGTTTTAGGCTGACTAAACACCATAAACTATGGTTTCTCCGGGGCATTGCGCACGGACACGTTAACGTAAAGTTTGGGACGGGCTAGAGTGTAAATTTCCATTAAATGTGCATCGTATGAAGTTCCATTATGTCCCATTTTACCAACAAATGATAGTGTATTTTTCAGCAGATGCAGGTGAAACAGCATTTGGCTGCTGTAGATGGGGATCCGAACTGACAGATTTTTTTTGGGAGTTTCCATCAATTGGTCAAACTTAAATGTTCAACTAAGAATTAGACAAATATACATTTAAGATCCATTAAGTATAGATATCTTAAGTAATTATTCTTAAGCATATAGTATCACATAGTATCTAATATAGTAATATGTATATATATATAATACTATAAACATATTATAAATACATGATGACCTTTTATTTTTGGCCCCAGGCCTTGCGGCTGCTTCTCCGGTTGGGAAAAGACCTGGGAAGCGCGGCGGAGCGCGTCCTGGAGGCCTGGCTCAAGGTGCCGTTCTCCGCTGAAAAACTGCGCTGGACCTGCGGTAGCGGAGACTGGAGAGTGAAATTATAGATTTAAAATATGGGATATATCCCATATAATTATATTTAAATATGGTTTTTATCATAGGTTATAATATGGGAAACAACCAGCAATATATGGGATATATATGGGATAAAATGGGAATAAATGGGAATATAACCAGCAATATATGGGATATATGGGATATAACCAGCTGATTTTATATATTTATATATGGCATATAACCAGCAATATATGGGAATAAATGCGAATATATAGCCAATATTATAATTTTCGATCTGGATAAGTGCAATTTTAAATTATAGGGAGATAGTGAAATTATTGGATCTGGGTAAATTATAACGACCTTACTGTTCTCCCTCACTGGAATCATGGTTAGGATTCGGGGAATTATCCCCAAATAGCCTTATTTCAGATTAGGGAATTATTATTATTTACCCAGGTAGATGTTATATTATGTTGTGATGAATATGAATATTATAGGCTATAGATGTTTACAGATCTATGTTATCTTCTATAAAATGATTTTAATAATGAAAAATAGAAGTTATAGAAGTTCAGAAGACATCAAGAGATACTAAGAGCTTCAAAGAATCCAATTCAGGATCTTCGATATGACTATCTTCGAAAGATTGAAGTTTATATTTGAAAAGATGTCCAACTGAAGATTTTGTTGATAACGTCTGGGTTTGGGATTGAACGTAGACCCAGGTGATGTGCTGATGTGTTTCAGATCCACGGAAGGGGCAGTGAGGTGCCGTCAACAGAACCAAATGATCATAATGCCACTATTGGGGGAGCTTTGGATTTTACTGGGCTTTGGTAATCAATATCAACATATAGAGAATTACCAGTAATATCCAGTAATCATAAGCCCAATATCAACATCTAGTGGTTAAATTCCCTCCATTTCTAGACGTTCATGACGGTCATGTTCCCATTAAAAGCTCCAGTCGTTCCAGGATGCCCAGCAAGAGCCGCTGAACTATGACCGGGGCCCTGGGGATGTCACATTCAATTGCGCACACCACTGCGAAAATGATCGAACATGTATGCCAACATGGAGATTCAGTCATAAATCTAATATATATATATATAACTTAACTCAGAAGATGTGTGCACAAACATGGTGCCGCGCTGAAGATTCATTGTTTGCTTCCATGTGGTTCACCCAGCCTTTGAGGCCGAACACTTGATTCTCAGCGTCTCCAAGGCAGGGTGGAGACCAGCCAAACATGGTTAAACAGTATGATGTCGATATGCAATAAAAAAAAATACATATGCGCATCGAATAGAATATATGTGACATCTCCTGGGTTTTCAGCCAATGAGAATTTGCTTTCAACTATCGAATAGATTCAAACTGCGTACGTCCGGATGCTTTGGTCAGGATTGATTCAAATTCTCATGGTTTATATCTGCGTTTCTTCGTGGTGCTTGGGTAATTCCTTCGGCCACCAACCGAGCTCCGCTTGCCGACCTCACTGCCAATGGTTATAGGGAGAATCATCCCAACAATGGCCAACATTTTTGGTATTGGATTTCTAGTCACTCTAGTTATTTGCCCAGGTATGTTCCTGAAATCATCTGGCCTTAAATCACAGTTTCTGGCCCTGGATCCGATGATAAGATCCGGTGACCATAGAGGTTTTGGATCTCTGGCGGGTTTTCAAGAGTGAGCCATGCTATTTTTGGTTGCCCAATGACTCATGACACCAGCCCAATTTGAAGTCAGGATTTCCACGTTATCTACGGTTCTTTTTTGAAAAGAAGCTTTCAAATCACATGACATGTTTGTTGCTGCCCATAGCGGAGTACAGTAGCCTTTAGGAATGAAATTTGCGATCAACATGTGGGGGCACCTCCTACACACGGGGACAGCACCCATGTCCACAACTTTGTGGCTTTAAGTCCATCAACTTGAATAGTTATCCCATTCAGAAGTTGGCTATAGATTTGAAGATTTGATGATTTTTGGAGGAGCTAACGTATTCAGGAATAGTGACTGTACCCCTAAATGGTGAGCTTAGTTGCCGTTATAGGAACCAAAATGAGAAGAACAGTGATTTACCCTCTAGTTATTTAACGTTGCTATGGAAAATCACCCCTTTTTAATAAGTAGATCATCATCATTTAATCATCTATTTTCATGGTCCATTTTCCAACAGCAATGTTAAATAACCAGAGGGTAAATCCCATTAAATTCCATAAAATCACCATAAAACCTACTATATAAATCATAGTAAATCCTGGTTAAATAACCAGATTTTACTGTTCGATCTGCTGGTCCATATGGCCCTTGGGGCCAAAAAACACAGGCCCTGCGTTCGCAGCCGGCGAGTGCCGGGGGCCTCAATAGGATCCCCCCACGCGGTGATGCCATATAGTCGGGTTAGACATCAGTGAAACAAATGTATACACCTGGCATTTGAAGCCTGATAATATCTGATCATTGTATTTTGTAACACTGTATACACTTATACTTGTATTTGAACCATTTGAACCCTGGCAGTGTGGCTGATAATTCTGTTGAGAGGGAAGGACCTTTGCGGTTCCATTGCCAATTCTTGCCAGCAAACAAAGCTCCATTTCTCAGCAAGCAAAGCCCCCAACCGCTTGACAAAAGATCTAGTCGAAACCTAGCATCCCCAAATTCTCCCCATATTCTCCCCTTTATTATCTTTCCCCATTAAAACATACCCTCTGGTTATTTAACATAGCCATGGGAAATGGCCCATTTATAGATGGTTTACCTATTAAAAATGGTGATTTTCCATGGCTATGGTGAATAACCAGAGGCTAAATCCCATTAAATCCCATTAAATCACCATAAAACCTACTAAATCATAGTAAATCCTGGTTAAAAATAACAATTTTATACCCATCCATTTCCATCCGGTGATTTCCATGGATTTCCCATGAATCTCTCCGCTGGAGCAAGGCACCGGCCTGGAGCCACTTGGCGCAGCTGTTGCTGGCGCGTCGACAACGGCATGGCTTGCCGCGCTGGAAATGGGATCTTTGCTGCACAATACCTTTCAACACACACACATGTATGTATATATATATAGTTAATATAATATAGAGATATAATGAATTGTATAATTACATTATGGGTCATATAGGACCTGGATGACCATTCGTACTACAAAAAAGGACCCCCCGGGTTTCGTACTAGATTTCATGAAAACCCCTCAACAATAGCAAGTGGTACACGTTTTTAGGCAATCGTATCTGTTCTTGAAATGAGTACTGTTTTTGCAGTGGCCCAAACCAAAAACATGCAAAACGCAAAGCGCAACTCGTGCGCAATGTTGCGCAACTCGAGCGCAATTTCAAAGTAGTGCAATCAATTACAGGTCGGCAAATCAAAACGTCAATTTAATCTTGGTTCGACTACTTTTTCGGCAATTGTAGTAGAATTTTCTCAAACGTATAGTTTTGAAATCGTATGACAGTTTTCTAGTAGTACATTTGGATGTCTAGGAAACTTTATAATATATATACTGTATATATATATATATGCAGATGTCAGCAAATATGTATACTGTTTTTTTGTAATGATTATGATGCATATATTTAGATTATATATACAGTACCAGCGCATCCCATGCGCTGGGTCATCCGATCACAACGCTGCCAGGTTGGTCAATGATGTCAGGCAGTACATTGGCTCCCTCCTTGGAGGTGGCGACCTGGTGAATGGAGGGAGCGCTTGGGAGCGGTTGGGAGCATCCTGCGGTATAAAATGGTTATTTTAACCAGGATTTACTATGATTTAGTAGGTTTTATGGTGAATTAATGGGATTTAATGGGATTTACCCTCTGGTTATTTAACAGTTTGCCATGGAAAGATCCACCATTTTTAATAGGTAAACCATCTATTTCTATGGGCCATCTATACCATGGCGAACTGTTAAATAACCAGAGGGTAAAACATGCTGAGCCTTTTAGGAGTGGTCGAATTTTCTCTGCAAGTCTACATGGGGCATGTTCACAATTTCTCTGATTCCCCTGTGTTGTCGGTCTGTCCTCATTGTGGAGTCCGTGTCATGTACGCCAGTCTTCCTGGTAACCAGGCCTCGGTGACGATTTTTACAGGAACCAGGCTGCCAGCGAGGAACTACAAATAGAAGCAACTGGTTTATCACGGTTCCACTCGTATATTTCCAACAGTTCCAAGGTATATTTTCATGGTTCCAATGCGTTTCGTCACGGTTCCGACCTGTTTTGTCACGGTTCCAATCACTACACTACATCTCCGGAAACTATGTTTGGTTACCTGTCTCATGGGTAACTGAAGTGGTTACCTGTTTCAAAGGTAACTGGAAGATTAGGGGTATATTTGGATCCTTTGGGAAAACATGGGATCTTGGATGAATACCAAAAATGGAGGGAAACTAGAGGCTTAAATTTGAATATTGTGTTTCAGAGTGAAGAGAAGATTGTTCCAGATACTGGCAAACAACCTTAGTTGGGTAGGTCAATACTTCAACTTGTAGTCTCAGATGATGGGAGAATATTTCATACGCAAAGTTCTTTGTAATGTCTTTTTAATGTTGGGAAATCTAAGTCTATAGAAACACATATTCCAGATGAATCCATTTGAACAGTGTTCAAAACCCCTGTTGAGTTGTGTGAATGCCTGTCAACCAACTAATAGTTTATGGAAGGACAGTGACAGGCTGTTGTCTTCAAACGTCTCATTTCAAATCTTCGGCCGATAACTCGGCAGGTTCTTCCAAAGAAACTCACCGCCGGCCACCCAGGTGTTTGATAACTGGCCTCGCGACCTTATGGCCTCATCAGAAATTCGATGGGTTGTTCAGTAAAAATTGGATGGGTTGTTTAAGTTGTTTAATCATGTGGGCAAAACAATGTCATAAACTACCCATGACTGGGAATGGTAAACATACCATCTATAGAAGTGGTGATGACGGGGGGATGGTTTATTATTGTTTTACCCAAAATTAATTAATCTATATGTAATGCTGTCATATACTTGTGCATTCATTAGAATAATATGTGTGTGTTAATACTTTCCGCGCCTAGACGTCTCTGTATCTAGTAAGCTGCAGTTAGCCCCACAAACCCTATACGGTCAGGGAGGTGGCGGGTTGGACGTGCCCATGCGACTTGTGCCATAGCTGGGGAGATACACTTGCCACATGGAGGTTTCCATAAATGGTGTAGCCCCAAAATCAATGGGAATTTCAGGATCCTAAAATGGAGGTACCTACCATATATAAGGCCTATGTAAGGCCTATGTAAGGGGATATCCCCACAAAATATGGCCTTATATTGTACAGTACCTCCATTTTAGGATCCTGAAATTCCCATTGACAAAATGGATAGTCTATAGAATGGGCTAACGCCCGAGTGCCGCCGACCCCTCTTTTTAGGAGGCTTACTCCATTGCCGTCGATGGTCTTGTAAGGGAATTGATGGCAGCAGAGCAGGTTAACATGGTAGTGAGATCTGTGCTGCGGCACAGGAATCTCTCAGACCACCAGCGGAGCCAAAGCGTGAGTTCCAGGTGGAGTTCCACACGAAGCAGAGCTTGGAGGGTCGTCAGGCGGCTCTTGCATTACTGGTAGATCTGGTAGGATGCAAGGCATGAAATCAGAGACCGAAAGCATGGGAGGGATTTCATCCGTGACACCTCAACAGCCCAAAAACACTGGCCCGAAAGGGCTCAGCCATGACATACAGAGAAATAGAGCAAGCACAGCTTTGTGACCTAAACGCCGCCCCGGCTACTGCCAAAGCCTGGGTCGGCGGATAATGGAACATCCTATGAAAATGGGTGATTTAGGGGTACCCCTATTTTAGGAACATCCCCCATATCTTTTTTGCAGGATATCTAGATGAGGCATGTTGATAAACAAGATTACACAATTGGTATTTTTGCCGATCATGTTGGGGACGGCACGGCACCTAAACGTGTGGCCAACCGATTATCCGGAATCCTCCTAAGCCAACTCCGTGGTTTGCCACAATGCCGGGAGTGAACCGACAAACATTGGGAGATCGCCAGCACTCTATATGGGATACAGTGCCTTTTGGCCATTGACAATCTCGCAATGGAAAGCATCGGAATTCTTCGCTTGGGGACAGTATTTCTACTCAAACGTTTCTGTTTCTCATTCCTGTGTTTAATTCCTAGAGGGTATCACATGACATCGCCAACAAAAAAGGAGTCAAGGAACTTCAGTTTGAAAGTTACTGATTATGTATTATAACTATTTATAACTTGTTTGGCGCACAGATAATATGATATATGATATACATATATATATATATGCACATATGAATTGAATCAGTCCAGTCGCCATGATGTCCTAGATCGGCATATGCCTTTCAAGGCATGCCTTCCCATCGGATGCACCTCATCAAGTGTCAGAACCTCTTCCAACAGTACATTGCTATCTCCCCAATGTGCCAATGTAGGTACAGTATACATTACCGTACCAAAGAAAAGATGAGAAAAGGAGAGCAAAGTGACTATGAACATGGGAATATGAATTGGAAATAACTAACCAACTTGATCATCCATTAGGGGAATCCCTGCTAAAGTGAATAGATATTTTGCTGGATCCAAGCTACCTATTTTTTACTTGTAAGCAACATACCTTTATACCTCCGATTTTGACAGATGGTGATCCCCACGGCGGCCCATGCTTCCCGCATCGAACTATTAGTTGGAAGTGGGGTTGCAATCCCAATCAGTTGCAAAATACCCGCAGTTGTGCTGGCCAATCTCCCTGCTTGGAAATGAAAGCTTTCAGGAGGTAGGCGACCTTCGATCTTCTTTATTTGGGCTGACCTTTTCAATCCTAATGACCCAGTCAAATTAACTCAGCTGAAAAGGCAAATCAGGTATCAATTGATACCATCATCTCATAATTGATCAACACACGCAGCAGGCCCCACAGAGGCCGCCAACCATATGTATAAAATTGTAAACACATTATATTACTATATTGTGTTCATATATATATACATATACATATGTATACGTAGCATACCGGTATCATACCAACTAGACCAGACAAGGCAAACAGTCAGACAGACAGACATGCATTACGAGTCTTCTGATGTAGAGAAGTTTTCTTTGGCAAAAAACATGTCTGTAGTCCACTGTTGCGGAGGGTACATCCGCATTTTCTTGGTTCATATGATATTCTGTCGAATTTGCTGGGGCCATTTCCTGGGTATGTCTCACATCTTTGGAGACTTTCGGAGATCTCCTGATTTTCTACGCTCATTTTCCAATAAATCACTAGAACTCTTGGTGATCATGGTGTATCCTTTCACCTTCACAGGATCATCAGAGTTGCCAAGCGGTTCACAACCATGGTGGAGAAGTCCCAATTTCCTGGGCTCATCGCACATGTTCCGTGTTGAATTTATGGGGGGTGTACTGGGGGTTACCCTCTGGTAGTCAAACATGGCAATGGAAATCCCCCATTGAGTTCGTTGACTTCCCCATTTGAAGTGCCCGTTTTGCTCTTGGATTTCCCGGCCAGCCATGTTCGGTTCTCCTACTACAGTATATCACCATTATATCATCATTAAACCGTGTTAATTATTTATTTGTGTTAAATCGCATGAAATCCAATTAAATCCAATCAAATCCCATATATTATCACATATTATCACCATAAATCACCATTAGATCCCATTTAAAATCCCACTAAATAATCATTTTTGATGGTTAAACCTTCGTTAGCTCCGCACGCCGTCCGCTATTCCCCAACTGTCGGCCCAGGCGGCACCCAATGCACTGCGACAGGCACTACTGACGTCCTGCGAGATCGATCCTTTTGAAACCTTGGCACGCTTGGAAACCCCCACAAAGATGGAAAAAAACAAAGTTGACATCATCATTGTTTCAGTTTCTTTAAAAAATATCTTTTTGGTGGTATAGGATATGCAATGACATTGCTATACGATTGGGTATACTTATGTAGTATACCCAATCATTATATAGTGCATAATCTGGTATAATTATAAACTACCAAGTGACTATACCACTTTGCATATGTATGCATACATGACTATTTAACTGGGTGCAATTCCGTAATGACTGGTAATATACATATAGATAGAATGACAGCTGACATATATATATATATATCATTTATAATTTATGTGTGTTATTACATTTATGTGATGTGTGTTTCATCCATTTGCATAATGATGGGCTATCATACTACGACTAGCAATGATACTACCCCAGGTTTATATCGGTGGAGGCTTGGAAACCAGTGACTGGGGAGGGCAGCTTGTTGTTGAGTCCAGGCTGGCAACGATTAAAAACATGACTCGTATGTTGTCATAATAAATGGCAACATATGGCAACCCATCCCCTATTTTCTTGAAATCAATTGGTACCAGCAATTTACAATCAATAACAGGTCCTTGATCTGGGTTTCAAAACAATTCCATCCGTGCGAATATGCTGGAAATCCAATCCGTGAAAACAAAGTTGCTCTGAAAGCTGTTTTTTTCTCCTGGAAATTATCGTTCTTGGGTTCTATAATGGTTCATGAGCTGGTTTGCAAGGGTTGAATGGTAAAATGGTGTAAAACATCCTTGTTTTGAGTTCAAATAGGGCTATTTGATTCTCGGGACTTGCGTCTTTGCGTTTTCCGGGACCTCGGGGTTTTCTTCTGAGCTGAGCTGGCCAGGCATTTCGCCCCTTGAGTTGGCAAGAACTCTGCACAGTGATGGAGGCCAAATTTGGGGGATGATTTGGATCATCTGAAACATATACCCTTTGGTAAACTAACATAACTATTGAAAATGGCCATTTATAGTGGATGTTCCCATGAAAAATGGTGATTTTCCATTGCTATGTTAGTTCACCAGAGGGTATCACTAATCACTAGCTCCAAATTTAGGTTGGCCAGAATGAAGAATTGCATCGGATTCTGGACCAAAAGTTTTCAATTGTCCAGAATGTCCGCAATGTTGATAGGCCAATTTTTTTCGACCTAATGAAAAGACGCTGAATTTGTGGACAATTTTTCCTTTCCAAGAAGTGGGGCGCATGGCATCGAAAAACTGTTTCTCTCAACTGCTCGGAATTGATTCCTTTGAAGGTTGGTTTTAAGGAGTCTGCCTTCATGGCTTCATGATTTCATGGTTCATGTCGTGAGAAACTTTTTCTCAACCTGAAATGCTTCAAGAGTTGTTACATAAATATTGTTACGATTTCCCAAGGTTGCACTGCAGCATTTTTGTAGCCATGATGGTATCCAAGATGGCCTCCCCAATGTAGGGAGGCTTGACTGCAGAAGACCTGTAGTCAAGCTGTAGCTAGAAACACCCAGTCAAGAATTGTGCAGGCTGCTGTTCATGCTTCAATTCTTCAAGCTGCAAGAAGCTGAAAAAATATAGTTTTCCTTACCCAAATATTGTCGCAAGGGGGCCCTTCAACATAATCACGTTTCTTCCCCAAACTTCGTCCATTTATTGGCATGCTTCGGCCCAGAAACAAACTGCAGATTCACAGGGGTAAACCGAAACTCGCAAAACGATATAGCCCGGAAACTCGGCCAAAAGTGGTCCATCCCTATGAGTTGTTTCACCCATGGACACCTGTCGAAGCAGCTGGTCGCAGAGCCCCAGAAGGGCTAGTACGTGGGCGCAAGGATACTTGGCTTAGCTTCTAAGGGTCTGGAACCTCCAGTTCAGACAGTTGGAACCCGTCACCCGTTCCCGATTCCCATGAGCAGTGATAGAAATACGTGGCACAAGACTGCTGCTTGGTGAAGCCACTATGGTTCAAAACCATTCAAAACCATATTGTGTTTAAAAACATGTGTTTTTTGATCATTATAGATCATTAAATCCCATGATAATCTCTACTAAGCCATAGAAAGCCATATTAAACCATATATTTGGTGATTATATCACCATTACATCCCATTAAGTCACGTTGAGTCCCCCTTTTTCCCCGGCATTTTTTGGTCATGTTTGACCGCCCCCAGGATGGCGCGGTCGCCGTGGTGCGCGGTCAAAGCGGCCCTCCACCGGCTGGGAGGCTTTCCTGTCCCTTGGATTTTCCCAAAATGGCGGGGTTTTTCACGTGGAAAAATGAAGGACCAACATCACTAGTGGGACTTGATGGGATTTAATGGTGAAAAAATACACAAAAATACCTTAAATGGTTTGATATATTTTGATATGGCTTAGTATGGACAACAATAGGGATAAGAATGGATTCTATATATATATACATATAATGATGATATAACTGGGGATGTTCTTTATTTGGATGAACTATAATTGCCTCACGTCGTGACGTCACTGATGGTGACTTGTAAAGGGAACCATGAATAAATGGCCTTATTCAGCTATTTTCAGGTTCATTCAGGTTAGGGAATGATTGTAAATCAGCAACATAGCACATCGCATCATGGAAAACAACCGTTTTCAATGAACTCAAAATGGGATGGTTCCAGTGATACCTAAAACTACCATATGAATTAACACCCATATATATATATATATATTTATTTATTTATTTATTTATACACAATATTTTTTTTGGGGTGCACATTCATTTGCCATCATTTGCCAATTTCTGAACAGAAGGGAACCAAATGAGTATAGTATATGATGGATATAAATATGTGAGTAAGCGTTGAACATGAGGTGTAACTAGCAAAACATGTGGTGTAATGGGCCATCAACTGTTCTTTTCAACCGCCTGGGGGTAGGCTATTTTCAGACAGGCCCAAATTGCCAAAAGGTGGCGAGGGTTGACTGACTGGGACCCATTTGATTGAACGGTACCGCTAAGTGGAGTGCATTTGCCCTGTGGTCACAATGGATATTCTTTTTTCTCCTTACATTTCCCGGATTTGCCAACTATTTGTTCCATATTTTCCTCATGTTTTCGCCGGTATTTTCCCATATTTCCCGCCATGGTTTGCTATGATCAATGGATTGGTTGAATGGAAAATTGAAACCGGAAAGCCCCATAATCCATGGGAAAATCTATGGTTTCCGGTTAAGATTTTCCCTTAAACCAATCCATGGCTATTTTCCATTCCCCAGCTGCCATTTCGCTGCCAAGTTTGCCGAGGCTCCCTTCGTCCCCCGTGAAGGCAGCTGCTGCGCTGCTCACGGAGGAAGAGTTTCGCAAACATCCGCTGTCCATGCAGACAACCACGGCCGCCTGGCAAAGATTGGAGAAAATGGTGCTGAAAAGTTGGGAAAACCAATGGGCCCCCAACATGGTGCTGAAAATCTCGGAAATCAATGGGATTCTCATGGGATATGATTGGATGATCAGATGCGATTGTGATGGCAGATTTTCTCTCCATTTCAACACTCTGATAGTGGTAGTGGATGGGGTTGCAGATGCCACCAATGTATGGCTGTCAGCCAGTTGCAGGTGGTGATACACCGGTGTTTATAGTTGTAGAGCAGCTAGGGCTATACACCTGTTTAATGGGGTGACCAAACTGGGCGGAGGGTACATAAGACTAGCAAACATGTCATTGATGTCTCCTTGCGACATTTCAACTAGTGAGTTTTTTTTCTCCATTTCTGCCAGGTTCTTTTCCGGTTCATCTTGGTTCACCTTGGTTCATCTCAGGGCATCCTGCCACCTCTCCACTTGGGCCCTGGAGTTGGTTAACTACTAAATGGATTATAATTCACTGGGATGTACAGCCATATATAACTCATATATAGTGGTATTTCATGGTATTTCTAGATATTTCTAGGCCACTTCCAAACCATTTCACTGTTATCCCATGGCCTATCATGGCCTATCCACTTCTCCAAGCTCCAAGGCATCCTTCGGTTCCTACCGCAGCCAGGGCACCGCCACGGATCTCCTGGCCGACGTCTCCATGACGCAGGCGCGGCAGACGGGGCAGGATGTGCTCTCCGCGGTGACCGCCACGGTGCCGGAGCCCTTTGGGCCGCAGCTGTCCACGGCCAAGGCGCGGAAAAGTCTGGGTCAATTGTCCTGGACAAGACATACATGTAATAATAATTTTATGTATATACAAAATTCTTTTGTGTGTATAATTAGATACACACACACACGCATATATATATATATTATGTATATATACATATATATGTGACTATATGTGTACATACACATATAATACGTAGAAATATTTATGTATATACAGATGCCAAAGTTAAAAAGGTCGAGCACTAAATCCAGCAGATTTGGATAGTTTAGCATTTTTGGTACTAGCTTCATCGTTTGTCAATACATATTTACGAAGCGGCCATGAATTCCCTAAATGATTTCCTAGGGACACTGCAGATTTTCCATGTTGGACGCAAAGTAGTTCAACCAAATGCCATAAGCCGTTTTTTCGGGGCGTGTTAATACATGATAATAGATGTTAATAACTCCCCAAACGGTTTATGGTTGGAAAAATGGGATATGGTCCATTATGGTTTATTGTTGGGCTTGCCGTAGCACCAGCCATGGATGTTATACATATTACCATTTGTTATTTGCTTGATCTAGATTCGGGTGATCTGTTTGGGGCCACATGATTGTAAATGGTGCCGCGGTATGCCGCGGTTAAGTCGGCATATGACCCAGTTTCTAACTATTTCCTGGGATAGAAGCCCTTGCATGTCACTGCAGGCTGTTATGAATTGCCTTGGTTAAACTTTCGACTGGAAGAAGAAATGTCACCAAATTAAATGGAAGAATATAAGTACTTTGCACTTTAGTGCTGTTTTTGGCGATATGTTCATTTTTCATTTAACACAGACGTTACAAATTAAATGGAAAATATACCCTGAACAAAGTATTAAAAGTTGGTACCTGAGGTTAAAAACACTGGCCGACCACCCTGAGGTCCCAGGTTCCTCAAGTTCATGGATCCGCCCATGCCCCATCGGTGCAGCGCATTTTATTAAATCCCATTCAAACAAGCATTGAAACCATCATTCAATTCCATATAATCTTACTATAAATATATCTATAAATGCTATTAAATTCCAATCCAAAACTCCAGAAGATCTTAGTAAAATCCCATTGAACCCCCTTCTATTTTTTGGTGTTTACCCGCACCTCCCAGGTGCTGCGTGGCCGCCCCAAGGCGGCCCCCCCCCGCAGCCCCAAGCGCCGCTCCCGGCCGCCCACGGGGCCCGGAGAGCGGCCCGCAGAGCGGGCCGCGGAGCGCGCGGAGCGCGCGGAGCGCGCGGAGCGCGCGGAGCGCGAGCCCCGGGAGGATGCGAAGGAGGAGAAGGAGAGCCCACTGGATGGAGAAGAAAACATGTCTTTTTTCTTCAGCAATTGAAGCAGTTCAATTTCGGCGATGTCATCAAACATGGTAAGAACATGTAAGAACATGACAATACAACTGTAACACAGGCATGATGAATGGGGATATTTACCCTCAATAATAATGGTTGTATCATGGGAGAATGGAGATATTTGGGGGATTAATTTCAGTTTCAGCTCCATGAATAAGATTCATTTTAGTCATAATATCATATCTATTTGCCCTTGTTTCGCCATTTTTTGACCCTACAGCTCCTGCAGAGTTGCTGGTTAAACAGGGTTGCTCCAAGCCATTCGGTTATATCATAGCCACTCCTGAAAGCAGTGTCATGTCTACCATGCCCTTTTTCTCCTAGTTCGGAGCAACCCTGTAAGCCCAAATACTAGTAGCAGCAATAGTGATCTGATTGGGATGATGATCCCACTTTGGGATGGCTCAGTACTCAGGAAAGGCTATGTTTTGTTGGTTCACAGGCGATCGTAGTAGATTCCTGGTGATCGTATTTATAGGTTCTATATTTAATATGAACACGATACTATATATATATACATATATATATAATAATGATGATAATAATTAATAATAATAATAACACTAATAATAATATATTTAGTATATAATATAATATTATACAATATATATAATATGTATATATAATACAATATATTATATATATATATTCGCACATTATATCCTCCAATAAACAGAACTGTGCAAGTTGCGATCACCACTCAACTCATCCCGTAGCCCACCTAAGTTGGACAATGGTGAACCGTGGTGAATAGATGGCAGTTGTGAGATCACATCCACGGATTCTTGGGGAGGTTCGGGTTGGTTTTAGGCCATTGAAATTGTGCAAATACTAAACAGATGGGCAGAATGAGTGAAGCTTCTGGGGATATATTCATCAACTAACATGGGCTTGAAGCTAACAATGTGAAGGTTCAGGTGGGTTTGACAGTTGGCAGACTCTCTGGTGGGTTTGGTTGGGCATCACCAGGAATGAATTGTATTTGGATGAAACACAGTTACATGGAAAGTATATGGTCAGCTCATCTCAATAGAGATCAATGTTGCACCGCTATCCCATTTCCTAATCATTTGCCCCCTGTATATGGGCACTCGGATATGCATTCCAGATAATAACTGTTTAAAGATGCTTTAAAGCCACTCCGGTACAAGCCGATTGCTCACAGCCCCGGGCTCCCAGGAGCCTCCAGCGCCGAAGAAGTCGCTCTTTAAGGCGGTGAGCGCCATCATGCAGGCGGCCAAAACGGAGAAAGCCCCCAAGGCGCGATGGCTTGGGCGGCTGGGAGAAGCTATGCTTCAGAGATTGGAAATGTCAGTATCAGACACTCACATGTCATAGTTTTGATTTAAATAATCTACGGTTATATCTCTGATGATATCTGGTTAATGTTACAACCTGAGACGGATTTGTTTTTTGGCCTGGTGATGTTATATTTTGTTTAGTGAATCTCAGGCTGAAACCTGCCGAGGCGCACGCGGACCGCCCCACTTCCTCCCTGAGCGACCGCAGTGGTCGCAGTGGTCGCAGTGGTCGCAGCACCGGCAGCCGCCGCAGCAGCCGCAGCGGCCGCAGCAAACGCAGCGGGCGCAGCGGACGCAGCGGGCGCAGCTCGCGGTCTTCGCAGTCGCAAAGGAGGAAGTCCAGCGGCAGATCTTCGAAAGTTCTACAGAAACTTGGTGTAAAATGGGTGAAATTTCGATCATTTATATTTCCTGCTGCTTGTTTGTATCGAAACCGTTCGGCAAGTTTTTGAAACTTGGAAGAAATCCAGTCTTGCTCTAAAATGTGGAGGAAGTTGGTGCATCTGTTTTTGGATGGTGAATGCTGGGGTCACTTCCTTGTCATTTCACTGGGCTTAACTTGGATTAGTTCATCCCGTAGCTGGAATTGGTGTAAGTGACGGATGCACCATATAGGGTTTTCATAAATGGGGGTACCCCAATAGATGGATGGCTTATAATGGAAAATCCTGACATGGATAATTTTGGACCCCCATTTGAGGAAACCTCCATAAATTTACAAATGGAGTCTATCCCGTCTATCCCATGCGTAAGACAAATAAATATACATAATATAACGGTGATAACACGTATATAATCATCCCAGTTTGAAAGGTGTTCACAAACTCCTCCAGAAATTCCTCCCCAACATTTCCCACCACAACTTCAGCCTTCTTACCCATCGAAGTTCGAATCCCGGAAAAGACATCGATATAATATGACAGAACTACTATAACAACATACATATAAACATATACAAACAAACATCTGTCATTATCTCTCTCCCTCTCTCTCTCTCTCTCTTTCTCTCTCTCTCTCTCTCTTTCTCTCCACATATGTATATATATATATATATACACATCTCTCTCTCTCTCTATATATATATATATCTATCCATCCATCCATCTATCCATCTATCTATCTGTGTGTAATAGTCTCACCACACTCCTGCAACTTCCCAAAAGTGCAACTTCCCATGGCCATCTCCAGGAAGGCGGCCCAGGCCTTCAAAACCGCCCTGAGCGCCGTGGCGGGCGAGACGGCCAACACCACCAGCGGCAGCCGCAGGCGTTCCGTGGCCGAGCGCCTGACCATGAGCAGCGCCACGCGCCACGCCATGGACGCCAAGGATGCGGAGCGCAGCAAGGCGTGGATCGTGGGGAAAATGGTGTGCAAAACTGGTGGAAGGTGGAATATGGTGAAACACCTGCTGGAAAAAGTGTGGAAAGATGGTAGGAAGATGGTGGGTAAAGATTAACGATTGAATGCAATTGATGGAACATGGTGGGAGAAACTGTCGGAACTAGAATGTGGAAATATGGTGTTTCTATAGGAAACAGGAGAGAAATTGGAAACTTGATGGCGAATGGTCGTTCATGAGGTACACCCAATGCCATAAACCAAAATTGGGGTTGATGATTGGGTATATCCTTATTTGGGATGATGTGGAATCACCCCTAAATGATCCAAATGATTGATGTGGTGCTTTTATATTCTGTGTCTTTTTTTTACTGGATTTGCTATATTAATCCACCATTTTCTCCAAGTTAAAATTGCCATAGACTGATGGTATCCTCCATTTTCCAACACGCAAACCACAACGATACTTTATCAAAGGGTGACTGATACTTCGAAGATCATCGTGACACTTATAGTATCATGACTTAGTTCACCTATTAAATGTATTTAAATGCTATAGATGGGAGAACCCATTTTATAGCTGGGAGTTCACCATGGCGTGATCCTCCAACCAAACAGAACAAACGGTGGAAACATGGCGACCTTTCATGTGGATGTCATGGGAAAATCGAGAAGAAATGATGGTCGTAAGGGGTAATTTGAAGATTACACACACACATGAACATATATATATATATATATAGAATTATATAGAGATATATGTGTATGTACATATATATATATAATTATATATATATATATATATCTGTGTGCGTGTGCGTGTTTTGAGTGGGCACTTCAAGCACACGCGTTTTGTTTTAGGGAAATTGACAGGAGGATACAAAAAGTGACTTGTTTGCCGAGGATTTTCTGCTGCTGGGGATGATCCCTTAGCTTAAGACCAGTCAATTCATTCGGCCCATGTGTGAATGGTTGGTGAAATGGACTGGCGAAATTGGCGAAAGGGTTGGTGAATGGTTGGTAAACACCATAATTGAGCAGTCAGAAAACATGGTGATTGATCCAGTATAGAGAAATGACGGTCAGAGGTTGCTTATCTAGCAAAACCGAGCTTTGATTTTGACAATGGGTCACAGCCAAGGGATGAATAGAATTGAAAAAACATGATAAGTCAATGATTTCTTGTTTGGGGGGTTGTGCTCCGATGTTTGTCGGATCTAATTAATGGATTATGGGTCGTTGGTTTTTGTGTGAACTGTTGCCAGTATATCCATGTCACATCATGTCACCTTCTGAGCGGTTCCAAGCCACCGTAAAGTGGTTGTATGCCGAATATGTCGTCCCGACCGAGCTCTATACATAGTTGGTTTGTCGTGTTTTCTTTTTAAAGTAATATATATAACATGAATCCCTTTTCCCCTTATATTAAGCACTCCCCGAAAAATAATTGGATGTATATTTGGGACCAATTTGGAGGGTTTTATATTACGGGGACATAACATACACATATAATTCATCAGGCTTCACACGGGAAAAAGCATTACTCGTAGGTGAGTAAATATCTATGTCTATAATTGTCTATAGGGGATAGTATTTACACATAGACATGTATTAAATGCTATTCCCTTTTTACCCCAATGTTCGACTTCATTTGACACTAATGTTAATATATTGTTATGTCTTTTTTATGCGCACTAATTGTAATTTATCATCATCATCCCTATATGAGTGTTCTTCTATAGGGGATGATAGACATGATTGATATCATTATGTCATTACTATTATTATTACTATTGTCATTATTATATTATCATCCCCTATAGTAAGATTAAGTCCCTAAATTAATATTATTGTTATTATCATCCCCTATTTTTAATATTATCTCCCCTAAACTATATTGATATCATCCTCTGAATTCATATTGTTGTTACAGCCGCAGGCGCCCGAGACGGACGCGGAGGACCCGGCCCGCCCTCCACGCTCCCCGGAGCGCAAGACGCGCAGTGCGTCGAAGGTGGAACGGGTTTCCACAGTGGAGACACTGGGACGAAACAGTGGAAACAATGGTGATGTAATGGGGATAATGGTGAGATAATCAACAAACAATGATGGTAAAAAATGGTGGGAGAATGGGGATAGAATGGTGATGTCAAATAAATATTGATAATGATAGAATATTGGTGGATACTGCTTGGTAACTAAATCAGCGATTTTCGATGGGTAAATCATTTGTAAGTGGGCCATTCTCCATAGCTACGTTAAATTACCGGAGGGTATATGGTATTACTATGGTGTTAAGACGGTATATGATGGTATTAGTATGGTAGGTATTAAGCAACATGTTGGAAATGGTGCCATCTATGCATGCTTTTGATGGGGATATAATGGGATATAATGAGATATACTGGGATACCCTCTGGTAAACTAACATAACTATGGGAAATCACAATTTTTCATAGAGAAATCAACTATAAATGGCCATTTTCAATAGCTATGTTAAATTACCAGAGGGTATTCATGATGTTTGGGGCTGCCTCAAGATGGAGGATATCTCATAAGATGGTTACTATTTTAATGGGGGACATGATGATAAACCATGGCATTTTGGGTGTCAGACAAGCCCGTATCTATATACGTATGCATGCATGTGATGCAACCATCTCGGCCATTTGGGCTTTTTTTCTTTAAATGGGCATTCATACACATATGCAGTATATATATATAGAGAGAGAGAGAGAATAGGTATGTTATACAGATCCCGCACATGTTGTTTGAATCGAAGATCCCCATGTTCCACCATTTTTTATAAACGGTGACCGGGATACACCGTTTATCTAAAATCTAAAACCAATCCCCAAAACAACGACCAATATATTTCTGTATTTATGGTGCGTACATATAGGTATACATATACTATGCACCGCATTTGGTAGTATAACCATTGTTTTTCAGGATGATTATTCTTGCTGGTGATCCATGGGAAAAAACTACCAACAACCGCGGTGACCATGGTAATTTATCGTGATTGATCACGTTCTGTGGCTCTCCGCGGTGTGATGATTTGATGGCATTGATGATTTGACGGGCTGAACATTGAGGATGCACACTTGCGAGAGGGATAGCACATTATACTCAGGATACCTCTCTATCTAGCCGCTACATAGACTATGACTAAATGAACAAATCTACCTATAACTTTCCATCCATGCATCTATCAAAATATCAATCTCCGCTCATCTCATTTATCTCATCTTATCTTGGCAAGGAATGGTGGAGAATTGGAGAATCCACCTGTGAATGATTCAGCATGGGCCATGGGCCTCTACCCCTTTTGCATGTTTCCTTTTTACATATGTTTCTTTTGCGTGGAACTGTAGATCTGTAGATCTTTCGTGATTTTGGGGCTCAAACGTGCCGTTTCACTGGTGGTTCACTCCCCCAAAGGTCATGTTTATGAAGTGCATCACTGTGACACTGTGTGGTCAGGGCGAAACAGGGATCAGCAATCCATCCACAATTGTGGATGGATATCGGCCCATAGGACTTATCGAGCACGTTGAACCTTGGGATGTCAAACCCAAAATATAGTATAGATATCGCACAGCTGTTGTGGACACACACACACACGCACATATGATATGATTTCGGTTGTTTATATTATATACATGTATACATGATATACATCATGATATGTATAGGAATTTGAACATATATTACTTGTAAATAAGACCACAAATGCGCCAAACAAATGCGCGGACAATTACAACTAGATAAACTAAATGCGATTATTCCCCCCATCTAATGCATCATTGATGTTTAATTGTACATGCCGAGAAACTCACAATATACAATCAACCAACAAACATATATACCAACAATCATGCCCAGTCATAATCTAACAATCATAGACTAACAATCATACACTAACAATCATAGACTAACAATTACAGACCATCAGTCATAAATTAACAATCATACACTAACAATCATAAATTAACAATCACACAATTATAGGCTATAACAACCATTAGATATAAACCCATCTCATCCATTTCACCACCAGGACCCCACATTTTCCAAGGCAAGCCCGCGAGGAGGCTTCCAAGGCGCCGCGCACAGCTGCGACGCCGGGAATGGTCTTCGCACCCCAGGATGGGGCCGAGGGGTGGATGCTGACCACTTGTATTACTTGTAGACCAGTTAAGTAAGTATAGATGGAATATGATGGAATATGGTTGTAGTTATAAGTATAGATGGTATCTATGGTCTATAAATCGATTACAATTATCCATGGTTTCGAAATGTAACTGGTCATGATCACCATAGCATACCGCATGCAGGGAAGAAACCACGAATCAGGGACGAATCCCATCACTAGGGTGACTTTCACTTACGATCCATGGGATGATCTTCCAAGTGGGAAGCTGCGTTATTTACCACAGGGTGAAAACAACGCAGATGTGGGAGATGATATACCCTTTGGATCCCTTTGGTAGTCAACCATGGCTGCAGGGGAAATCACCTAGAAATGGAGGCTTTAATAGGAACATCATCTATACTTCAATGAGGTTATGACCGGGCGAAGATTGGATATTCACCGGCAAAACCAGGGGAAGGTCGGCAGGTGCATCACTCAAAGGTTTATGACCCATTTTAAGAACAGGGAAAATACAATGGAAGAATGCTCGGGGATATCCGACTTTATGATCACTGAATGATGAAAAACTGGAGATAATCCTGTGAATCTGTAGCTATGGGTAAGTTAAATCTACGTGATTGGATGTTGGTTAGGATTCGGTGAAGCATGCGAAAAATCACCAAACATGTGAGGTAATTATGTGAGGTTAGTGAATGGCTGTATTTTGCTGTATTGTAATTCAACCAGATTGATTGAACACTTTGCAAGACACCGACCTATGATTTTCCGTACCTATGAACTACTATACCAAACTAAATGGTATCACATGCTATCAGGAGAAACCAGGAGGCAAGTGGAAGTGGACTTCGCAAGCCTTTGAGGCACCTCTCTGTTCCTTTCAGGACAGCTCTGGGTGGATGGTATAAATGGGTCGAAGCACTAAAGGTCTTGGGCTGGATAATGCTCAGTAAGTGTTAGTGGTAGAACTTGTGGGAAATCTGTCAATTTCCTACATCTGGGCATCCAGATGTCGAATTCGACCAACATAGTTCTGTTCCTTGACCTCATGTAACTATAGATGATGTTTCTATTGGTTTCAAGAAGATTTCCCCCCACAGCCATGGTTGGCTACCAAAGGGTATATCCCACATTTGCGCTGTTTTCAGGTGGTAGTGATACATACCCTTTTTTTTTCTCCCACGCTAGCACATTGATATGCATTGAAGGATCTCCACTCCACCCAGCTGGGTTTTTGAACCCATCATTGGCGGGCCAATTGTCACCGGTTCGGGCGGTGTTGAACCTATTCCTGCAGATCAACTCATTTCTGCAGACAAAAAATATGTACTGTATGTTGTGAAGTGAACCCCCCAATCTTTGGAGGTGACACCCGCGCACTTTTCGGAGATGAACCTCCCAATTTTTTTCCATAGCCATCCTCCACTTCCAGTTTCCACCACCCTTCAACTGCTCGTTTCGCCCGTTGCAGGAACTGGTGAACGTGGAGAACACACCCATGCTCCTAGCGGAGGCAGTGGAGCGAGTCCGACCGATGTGCGGCGGGCAGAACTTCAGCTGGGAAAGGTCCCATGGATCCTATGGCGGCAAGTTGCACATCAACTTCCCCATAGCAGCTGGGACCATGGTGGGACCATGCGACGGGAGGATTCCCCAGATTCAGAGAAAAGTATAGAAAAGTCATCCGCATAGTAAAAGGGTTGGGTGATCTGAATGCAATGTTGTCCCAAGTCTGGATGTTCAAATTGTTCAAGGGAACATCTTTGCCAGGCCAGAACTCTCTCTTTTTGTTTTTGTTTTGCTTTTCTTTCTCTAAATTTACTTTCTTTTAAGCATTGCGCCCCTATAATGCAGAATTCCAAACCCCTTCATTGCCAGAAGGCATGAACTAGATTGTTTGGGCAGGTGAATCTGCAGTGTTCCGTTTTCTTGGCTTCAAAGTCGCTTGATGGTGCTTGGCTTTAGGATAGCATCGGTCCACAACGCTCTGACAGTTGTTTATACATATATATCTTTTCAAATGTGCATATATATATATCATGTATATATAGGCTTTGACTTATAGAATCAAGGCTATTAATGACTTGTTTGATTGTTCGCCCCTGGACCTATTTTTCCCAACCAAATGTTTCGATTCGAAGCTCAGGTTCTCTGGTACCAGCACAGTTGGGAGAACGAGATCAAGAAATCCCGGACCTCCTGCGCCGTCTCCTTCCTGCACCGCTCGGGCTGTGCATTCGTCTACCAGCCCACGGTGCCGGTGACCACGCTGATTATCGAGCCCAGGTGGACGATGACGCAGATTTTTTAAGGGAATTTTCATGGAGTTTTTTACGTGGAGTTCGTATGGGATATTAGATGTACCAACCAATGGTAACCAACAGTATTGGAGAATTTTACCATCTGTTGGGGATATTAGATAGTTATTTTATGATGATTTATGTGGATAGAATGGGATAAAACCGGAGGTTCTTGGGATATGTAGCCAACAATATGATGTTTGAGTTTGTCTGAACATGGGGGTACACCCTCAAAATGGCCATTTGAATAATTAGGGACAATGGAAGATCAACAAAGTGGATGAAACAGGGTACCTGTTTTCAGACCCATATCTTGTTTTCGTTACAATTTGGTAATGAAAGATAGCTATTGAGAATGGCCCAGCGGGGAATATCCATTTATGAATCATTTATGATTTATTTCGCTGTTATCGTCGTGAAAATCCATGGTAAGTTGGAGGGGATCTCCTGGGGAACTCAGGAACCCAAGCAGATCTTCCGACCCATGTTCCACTTTGACCCGAGCCTGGGGCGGAATTTGTGGGTGAACCCGGTGGAAAATCCGGTGGATTTCCCATGAGACCTCCATTTTTTTCGGGGATTTCCCAGCTTGCCATGGAAATGATGACCGGAGGGTAATGACTCCGTGGGGATAACTTCGCACATGTCATTATTTGAGATTCATTTTCTGGTGTCAACTTCATGTCCACCCGGGATGAAGAAAACTCCGGTCTTGCTACCAATTTTCAATGGTATTTTCTCACCTTTTGGAGGACGCCCCCTAATCACTGTAATCAACTGGGTTTCTTAATCTAGGGTTGACATTAATCATTATATAATTGATGTGTGAAGAATTTGGTTAGGATTGGTGAGATATAGTGCGTGGTTGGCGTGGTTCGTGCGCCTGTGTGTACTTGCATGTGTCCACATAATGTGTAGAAAGAAAAACATTCAGAACTAAGCAACAAACATGGGGATATTGGCCAAGTAGGGTACAAAATGGGAGTCATATGGTGGGATGTCAAACACCTAGTAGTTTTATTGGGGAAGTCTTCGTGGCAGGCCCCCAGCAGAATCATGCAAATCAGCGAGGCAACGCTAGATTGGCGCTAGTTTCGCCATATGTTTTTTGAGTTTAGAATGAGAAAAAAAAAATCCCCTCACTCTCCTCTTGCTTTCCTTTTTCTCCCTTGTCATTTTCCTTTCATATTTGTTTCCTCTTCCTCTCCTTTTCCTCTCCCCTTCATATGGGTTTCCTTTTCCAAAGATGGACACATGACAAGTGTGAAGAGAGGGTGGGCAAAGGCTGCAAAGAGAGTGTATGCCAACGTATGCCAGAATTCAGCTGACACAACGCTATATTATGGCCCAATTTTCAATACCTATAAGGACATGCTACCATCATTAAACATTACCGTCTTTTTTTTGGTCGCATCACACGAAATTGACCCAGACCCGGGATGGAACTGGATAGAGGGTACTAATGGAAGTTTAGACCCTACTTGCTACACGGATTGAAATGTAGATAACTCTTCCCAATGGACAATTTGTAACTGAGAGGATCTCTTGTAGTGATGGGATATGTTCGACCTGTTTGAATGCCTTTTCTGTGAAGCCAATCCTTTCACCTGAACTGGGCTGTTCCCTGCAATCAGGAGATCTTTTCATACCTTCAAACTGGCGTGGCGGCACTACTTGGATTTCGACAGCACGGACTACCGTTTCTGGCTGGTGCTTTTAATACTTTTCAATTAAGATGTTTTTTTTTGCTGGCCCTGTGAAGTTAGAGATAAATCCAAAGATTTGCGTATCAGGAAGATCAGCAAGATGGTGAACATTCTGAACTCCCAGAGAGGGTGATGGAGAGAAAATCGGAAACTCATTTTCCACGGGCCACATTTGTGGGGTCACAACATTTGGAGTGTGAGTTTTAATTTGTATTCTGCTAGGCCCAACTGTTACCCTATGGTAATTTGACATAGCTATTGAACATGGCACATTTATGGTTGATTCAAATCATAGAAAAAAATGTGGTTGTCCATAGGTTTTTGTAAGTTTAGCAGAGGGGTCCCAATTATGCGGAAATCCCTTTCTAAACCATGGTTTCTAGGGGTGTTTCATATGAACAGGGGAAGGGATTATTAGCCGTGCACCTTTGTTCCCCAAGGTTTAATCGTTGGAAGTGAGTTGGAGCGCTGGTGCCAACGCTGCTCCAATGCCATCGAAAAACCCTTCAACGCCACCTATTGGCTGCTGCTGATGATTGGCTCCCTCTACCGGGAGACGTTGACCATGCGGAATGTGGTCCCCAAGTTGGATCCACCGGAACAGGTGGGGCCGCAAGACCCGAAGAGGTGAACTAACATAGCTTGAAATTGCCCATTTTATAGTTGATTTATATACCTACGAAAAGTGGTGTTTTTCTCCACACACACATATCATATCATATATATATATATGTATACATATGATTAATTAATTAATCAATCAATTAATTAAATAATTATATATATATATGTAAATCTATGTGCGTATGTTAGTCAGGGCAAAAATTGGGGGTACCAAATCTGTCGACCCCCCTAAATGAGGTTCACCTGCGGTCAACACCCCCCAGTTGGGGGTGAAACAGTATGACTGGAGAAAGTATCACCCAAACTATCCGTGTGGTATACCCTCTGGTAAACTTACAGAACTAAACATGATACGTGGCCCAAATTCCATAGGTATGGTGATAACATGTTAGTTTACCAGAGGGTAAATCCCTCTCTACCACCATGACATGCCCATTACATCATGATATAATTATATATAGTTCAATATTATATATATATATACAAACATCAGAATATAATAACATGCATGCATATATTAAATATTAAATTATCCTACCTATCCCATTCTACCACCAAATCACCAAATCCACCAGCACCATGCTTTGCGCGATCCCCAAGTCCCACACCTTGGGGTCCCGGTTGGATTCATTATGAAACATCCAGTTTTCTACCCTCTGGTAAACAAACATAGCTATTGAACATGGCCATAGAAATCGTAGATTTACCCAGCTAGAAAATGGTGATTTTCCATGGTTTTTTGTAAGTCTACCAGAGGGTATTCATAACGAATCCCAACCATCCCATTAGAAATGCTTGGGAATATGAAGATCTTGTTGGTATTCCCCACTATTTTTCCAATTTCATTGTTGATGATTGCTGGTTAATGTATGGTGGCATGATGAATTACAACGATTCAGGGCTTTGTAAGGTGGGTAAAGGTCAATATTTACTGCACAGACGGCAGATTCTCAGTATTAACACGTAATTTTAGGGATATCTAAACCTTTTTAGAGGTATCTACATCATCCAAGTCTAGAAATAACATCAGTAATAACCATCCAATATGTATAGTTAACCATTCATTCACCATCGAACTGACCCTTTCCCCAGATCCCATTGTGCCCTTAACGCCTTCGCTACAGGTGGCCGTGATCTGCGTCGATTCCTTCGTGGCGCTGTCGGCCCTGCTCTTCGCGCCGGAGCGGCAGGTCCTGTACGCCGGGGTGGATCCCACGCCGTCGTATCTACGCTGGCTGCAGTACATTGCGGATCAGAACAATTTTCGAAGCTCCAGCTGATAATCTGTTGAATTTATGTTCATATATTAAAAACATGATTTAATATGATAATATGTGATATATAATGATATATGAAGATAATATATTATATGTTCATGCTGTTAATATATGTTAATATGATGTTATTAATGATATATGAAGCTTACCAATGCATATTCTGTAGGTAAGATTTCAAGATATTTCCAGAATATTAAAGATCATGGCTTATTACATATGATGTACCTATTCAGAATTGCGATTTCCGTAGCTATGTTACACTACCAGAGGGTATATTCTGTATCACTTCTGTTTTCATTCTTTATCCCCATCATTGGTGAACTTCAACATGGGCTCCCTAGCCAACAGATGATTCTTCGACATGCCATGACGATCCAAACTCTGCAGGTGTCCTACTTTCTAGACTCATAGCCTGCTAAACCAAATAGCTTGAGGTGCAGCCCATATTCAGACATGACATTTGCAACTTGTCATTGGTGGTCTCCGCGTGTTGGAACCCCATTCATTTGTTATTTGGATCATGATTGACTAGATTTGCCTCAACCACATTTCTTTTCACTGATCAAATCAGCCCTTGAATTGCTAACCCCGTCTTTAAAATTTTGTCAAGTCCAAACTCATGGTTTGGCTCCTATGACATCACCCCATTAAACTAGGAACATGCGTCATTTACCCGTTGGAAGAAAGTTGCCCCCCAGGAAAGACCAAACCGGTCAACGCTGCGAACGCAGCCACAGTCTTCGAGATGAATGAGTTTCTGCATTTTGATGAAGGTAGCTATTTATTTTTCTGTGAGTCGATTGATCCATCAGAAATGGATTTGGATTCACCAGCAATGGCTGAGATATTACTCTTGAATTTGTTTCCAGGTGTGATTTGCCGTTTGACATTCCAACAATTTGATTTGCATAAGTGTATTTATTTTTTATTCTAGATTCTATACCTATCATTCTGTGTCTATAGCTGTGAACCTGTATATACATATATACCTGCCTTGGCAATTCGGTCATTTTTTATTTTTTGCCGTTTTCTTCACACCTGTGAGCCACTGTCCAGGTCAAAAGGGTTGAGTTAGTAGTAGTTCATTCCATTCCGGTATCCCTGCCTAGCCATGCTGCCCAAGCGGCTCTGCATTCCCCATCTTCCTGACTATCCTAACCCTTCGCTGCGCCCTCAGAACCTTTCAAAGCGCCAAAAAACTAAAATGCGCCATTGAAGGGTCATATCGTCGCTTTGAGTCAAATCCTGTGCGTTATAAATCCCCCATCCCATTTCCATTCATCATAAGCCTCTAAGTAAATCATTTACATCCTGCTCAGGGCTGACCTTGCTGCTCCTGCTGCCGCTGCCTTTCCCACTACAGCACTTGGAGAAGGCTTGTGCTTGTCAGCGCTGGGGTCGGCAGTGTTTGTGGATAATGTTTTTAATGAAGCGCATTCTATTTTTAGCAGCCCAGCATGGAGTGCTTCATTCTTCCATCCCCAGCACCACTGCTTGCCCAAGCTGCCCCTGTGTGTTTACTTCGCCTCTTGCGCTGGTGATGGCAGCTCCTCCTGACGCGCTAGCAGAGGCAGTGGATTCCATGGAGGCTGCAGACGCTGCTGCTCTTGCTGCTGCTGGGAATGTTGCAGCTGCACCTGCTGCCGAAGCAGCCCATCCTGCCGGAGCTCCTTCCTGCTGCCGAAGCAGCCCATCCTTCTGAAGCAGCCCTGCTGCCGCAGAAGCCGAAGCACCTGCTGGTCCTCCTGATGGCGCGCCATTGATTGAGGACTACGATGAGGCAGAGCATGGAGACTGTGGGCCGGGGGAGTGGTGCCCCAATCTGCAACTGACCTTGTCCCTGCTCCCTAAGCTGCCCAGACTGCTGCTGCCCAGCGCCAGCGAATGGATATCTTTGAGTGCGTTCTCTTTGAGTGCGTGACTGGTCGCTGCCTGATACAACCCTGTCCTGCTGCCTGCTGCGTGCTGCCCAAGCTGTTGGTGCTGCTTCGATGGTGAGATTGTGGTGCGCTTCCTGGAGACTCTTTTCTTCTTCCAGGCATTGCTCATCCAAGCTCGCGGCTGCATTTTTTTTATATATTCGGCTCTCACAAGCCGGATCCTGGGCAGCCTGGGTATTTACTATTCTGGCAGCTTTGAGTCCTGAGCCTTCTTCTCGGAGATGGGGCCAGGTGGCTGTAGGGTTAATCATAGTAGTAGGGGTGCTTCCTCCTAGCTTGTGAATCGGGGTTGAAGCTACAGGAAGAATACTTTTCAACGTTTGGTTTGGTCAGTGGTGCAATCACCAGCTGCCCTAGCTGCTCAAAACCTTGGACATGTGCGCAGCAACAGATCGCTCACATCCAAAGCAGAGTGATCACATCACAGTTGAAGTATTGTGAAATGAATTGAACCAGCTGAGGTGCCCAACTGTCATCGACAAGTTCATTGCGTTTGGGCACCGCTATGCTGGGAAGTGAGTGGAAAACACGCTGCCTCTGCACTTTCTGTTTGTGGTGCTTTAGCATTGTCATGAATTCCACAATTTGGACAAAAATCAACCAAATCCTCGATATTTTTCACAACCAGTGAAATGCCAACATAGACATATACATATATATATATATATACATGTCTTCACACATCTATACCTCTCAGTGCGCCGAATTGCCTTTGTGGGTATGCATGGCGCATGACATGAGTGAAAGCAGTTACCTTCCTTCGGCGGACGCGTTTTCACCATGCTGAAGCCATCGTTTTCCCATCCAATACAAAGAGTTCATGCAGATTTTCTCTCAACCAATCCTGTGTTTCCTCGATCCCATGGTCTTTTTCATCAATAAACATGTTTTTTCCCATAAGTATGTGCCCAAAAGATAGGCTCTGCCAGGTTTTCCTTTCATTTTTCTTTTACTTTTCGGATCACCCCATGGTTTTCCTTAGATTTTCCCGCAGATGTTTCAAGGTTCCTGGACCTTCCGGTGGTGATCATCTTCTACGGCCGCCCCAGTCGCGGTAAGGAGGCAGACCCCTTAGCGTGGACGGGCAATCCTACGCTGGTGAAGAGCTGCTTGGAAAGAATGGATTAAATATTTATATAAGAAGGAAATTTCAGGAATTTCAAGGAATATATGTGTCATAGTAGTAGTAGTAGTAGTAGTAGTAGTAGTAGTAGTAGTAGTAGTGGTAGTAGTAGTAGTGGTAGTGGTAGTGGTAGTCGTAGTCGTAGTCGTAGTAGTCGTAGTAGTCGGAGTAGTCGTAGTAGTCTTAGTAGTCGTAGTAGTCGTAGTAGTCGTAGTAGTCGTAGTAGTCGTAGTAGTCGTAGTAGTCGTAGTAGTAGTAGTAGTAGTAGTAGTAGTAGTAGTAGTAGTACTAGTAGTGGTAGTAGTAGTAGTAGTAATAGTAGTAGTAGGAGTAAGAGTAGGAGTAGGAGTAGGAGTAGTAGGAGTAGTAGGAGTAGTAGGAGTAGTAGGAGTAGTAGGAGTAGTAGGAGTAGTAGGAATAGTAGTAGTAGTAGTAGTAGTAGTGGTAGTGGTAGTAGTGGTAGTAGTGGTAGTAGTGGTAGTAGTCGTAGTAGTGGTAGTAGTCGTAGTAGTCGTAGTAGTCGTAGTAGTCGTAGTAGTCGTAGTAGTCGTAGTAGTCGTAGTAGTCGTAGTAGTCGTAGTAGTCGTAGTAGTCGTAGTAGTCGTAGTAGTCGTAGTCGTAGTCGTAGTAGTCGTAGTAGTCGTAGTCGTCGTAGTAGTAGTCGTAGTAGTCGTAGTCGTCGTAGTCGTCGTAGTCGTCGTAGTCGTCGTAGTCGTCGTAATCGTAGTAGTCGTAGTAGTCGTCGTCGTAGTAGTCGTAGTAGGAGTA